CCGATTGGAGCGTTGGAACTAGCCAGGGGGGACTGGACTGAATGGACAGAGAGCAGGCAAAGCCATCAATTGCACAAGATACATTCAATCCATCACCTGGCTATCTCCATTCTCCACCACCCATGTGCTATGTATATATTATACATACACACCCATTTCACCCAGCTGAACTGTGTCCAGGTGGCAGATGAAAGGTCTGTGTTTGTGGAATGACAGAGGAGATTACAGGATCATGTCCCCTTTTCTGGGGGAGGAAATTAAGCATATGAAACCCTTGCAGGTGAGGAGAGCAAACTGGCTACTAAAGTAAATGGAACTTGCTCAGTTAAAAAGAAAGCCAGCCCGGTATGTTAAAAGTCAACTATCCCAGCGAGGCAGGGCAAGCAGATGACAGCTTCTGGAGCCCTTGAATTCAACTCACTCACTTGTCCCTTCCCCCATCCCTGTTCTGTCTCTTGGATGCACCAGGTGAGCAGGCTGGATGTAACACAGCTTTTAGCTCTCTAAGGCTGGGATTTTCAAAGAGAACTAAAGGAGGACTTTCAGAGTAGCAGCCGTGTTAGTCTGTATTCGCAAAAAGAAAAGGAGTACTAAAGGGCCAATCACATCAGCCACAACTATCAGAGGCTTGTTCACCTGCACATCTACCAATGTGATATATGCCATCATGTGCCAGCAATGCCCCTCTGCCATGTACATTGGTCAAACTGGAGAGTCTCTATGCAAAAGAATAAATAGACACAAATCAGACGTCAAGAATTATAACATTCAAAAACCAGTCGGAGAACACTTCAATCTCTCTGGTCTCTCGATTACAGACCTAAAAGTTGCAATCCTTCAACAACAAAACTTCAAAAACAGACTCCAACGAGAGACTGCTGAATTGGAATTAATTTGCAAACTGGATACAATTAACTTAGGCTTGAATAAAGACTGGGAGTGGATGGGTCATTACACAAAGTAAAACTATTTCCCCTTGTTTATTTTCCCTCCTACTGTTCTTGTCAACTGCTTGGAAATGGCCCACCTTGATTATCATTACAAAAGGTTTTCTCCCACCCCCACCCCCCGCTCTCCTGCTGGTAATAGCTCATCTTAAATGATCACTCTCCTTACAGTATGTATGATAACACCCATTTTTTCATGTTCTGTGTGTATATAAATCTCCTCACTGTATTTTCCACTGAATGCATCCGATGAAGTGAGCTGCAGCACATGAAAGCTTATGCCCAAATAAATTGGTTAGTCTCTAAGCTGCCACAAGTCCTCCTGTTCTTTTTGCGGATACAGACGAACACGGCTGCTACTCTGAAAAGAGACCTAAGGAACTCAGGTGCTCAACTCACAGTTAATTTCAACAGGCTTTGGGGGCCTAACTCCTCTAGGCACCTGGGGACATTCCAGCCTCTAGCAATGGGAGAGGCTGAATCTGGATGCCATGCCTCCTCCCTTGCTGCGCTTTTTCGTGTGGCTCATGGGTATTTTGGGCAGGAGGAAGAAGAGACACAACCCATCCTGCCAAAGCCAGCCTCTTAGTCAGATACAGACAGGGAGCTTTGGTACCCGCAAAGCTAATTCCAGAGCGGGGCTGTCACAGGGGCACAGGACTGAATGGGAAAATGAACAGCAGCAATGAACATGAAGGACACAGGTGGAAAGAGGAAGGGGTAAAGGACATTTCTTTGGGCATTCCTTTGCTTCCAGGCGGCATTGATATTTCCAGGAAAGATGGGCCTGGGGCAAAGTTTGGATCCAAATTCAAACTCTCCCCATGGTTTGGGTGGGGGGGGGGTGTTGAAGGGAGAAGCAGGGTTTTGCTCTGGCACCTTACAGGAAGGTCAGCCGTAGAGTTCTGAGCTGGATCCGGATCCAAACTTCCCCAGTGTGTGGGATGGTGTGTGTGTGGGGAAGGGTGGAGTAAGGGCTCTCTCATCTCTTCCCCCACCCCCAGGGACTGGATCCCTACACAGATTTGTGAGGCACAATCTCTAGCAAAGGCATCCTTCTGCCCTTGATGCGCTCCTCCCATCAGCTTCCAGGGGACCAGGACATGCAGCTGGAAGGGTCGCTGTCTGCCTGAGCTCTCGGCCCCATGAAAAAACTCCCTGAAACTGGTTAGAGCTCTAGGCCCCAGTTACACAACAGCCACCAGGGTTTGTAATCAGCACATGGTACTGATGGCTCCAGCTGTGGTTTATGCCTGCACACCACCTGGTTAGTAACCGCGGCAGCTGCCCCCTGCTAGGGACCTAGGCTGGTGCACCTTTGGGGTTTGCAGTATAGGCAGGAGCCCCTATTCTCCCTAGTCGGGCTGGTCTCTTTCACCCCATCACTCTGTGCAGTGGGACAGCCCAGAATCCATTTCTCCATGCGTGGCGCTGTGTGCATGGCCCCTGGGCCCGGCAGTCCTTGCAGAGGCACTGGGGGGCAAACACTGTGAGGCAGCAGGGCGGGTGCAGACATACAGTCCTTGCTGCAAATTGAACCATGTCACTGGAACCACGCTACAGCCGTGATTTTGTAACCGAACAGGGGCTTAGCCAGGGATCTTTATTCATCCTCACAGGGCAACACATTGGGCCACCCTCACAGAACAGCGTGCATGCAAATTACCACAAGGTGGCAGCATTTGTGCATGTCCCTATTTAAGGTCCTGCAGGCTCGTTGAGCAATACGCTCCGAAGAGATGGATTGGGGCAGCAAAAAAGCCTGGAGCCGAGCTTTCCCGAAGCTCTGGGGCCTCTGGGCCCAGGGTTTTGGGTCAGATCCATCTGTGGTGGGCAGGGAGGGTAAAGACCAGGGACGTTGCTGTGGCAGTATGCAGCACACACGAGCGCCTCCCAACCTTGGAGGGTCGAGGCAGCAAAACCAAAGCAACCACGTGGTCACTGCACAGCGTGAGACCAGTGAACGCGAGCTGAAGTCAAGCAAGCCAGCTGCCAAATCGCACTTAGGCCGGGGGAGACTTCAGACCTGGCTGGACTCACTTTGTTAGAAGCTTGGCTCAGGGGGAGTCAGTGGCAGATCCTGGTCTCTGAAAACAACCCCTCGGTGACAGCGGTTGCGGGGACCTTCTCCCTTTGCCGTGCCCAAGTCCTGACCCCTCGGTGGTAATTCCCTATGCTGGCGGCAGGAGGGGGTCCAGTGCCTACCTGAAGGCACCAGTTTGCTCTTGCTGCCTGCAGTCGAGCCACAGTAGATGGCTATGTACAGTGCAGGTGGGGGAAGGGACGAGGGCTCCCAACACCCCCAAAGAACCTGGCAACTAGAGAAAGCCCCTCCCCCTGAGAGAGAGAGAGAGAGTGAGCGCAAGCATGTGCCGGTGTGTGTGTGTGGGGGGGGGGGCGCAGAGTTTCTACCTGGAAAAGGGGAGCGACCGCGGGGCTGCCAGCACAGTAGCCGTCCCTGTAAGAGTCTCTCGCGGGGCTGGATTTGTGCAGCGGATCTGAGCAGTCAGCACCGCAGAGCCTGGCGTTAGACAGCACCGGTGCCTCTCTCCTTGGGCTTGCTCCCCCGCTCTCCTGAGAGCTCCCGGCCCAGAGGCCTCGTGCAGTTTGAACGGTGGCACCGAGTGTGCAGCAGGCAGAGTGGGCAGGGAGAGGATTTGGGGGTTTTTGCAGCGCGGAGGCACCTGTTGCAGCCAGCCTGGCACCCCGAGAGCTTTGCAGCTCCTTGGGGGGGCCGCCCCTGAGAAAGGACATCTCACAAGATCGCGCTAGGACAGACTTGCCATGCTTTGAGTATTCAAGGCAACTGTTACTCATTGAAGGGAGCATTCTGCGGGGTCAGAAACGCCCGTAGCAGACCCCATAGAGTGGCTACTTGCTGGCTTCCTAGCAACCTTTTTATAAGCAGGTGCCGCTTGGACCTGGGCAGAGATGGCTTCAGAGCTACTCCGACTCCCAGCCGTGTCACCTTACATGTTCTCTGGTCTTGCTGGAGAGGACTCACGTGCCCACTGCCAGCGCCCTGTTAATCCAGGGAAGCGACAGGACGCAACCCACACCTGATTCACAATCTTTCCTCCAGGGATCTCAGCTAACCTGTAGCCCTCTCGTGCCGGCTGGCCACGTTTACCCTCAACTCCCATCGGAGGCTGGGAAGGTTCGGATGCAGAGTGGGCAGTACATCCCATGCTTCCCCGGGACCAGAGAGCACCCACAGGCTGCCCCATTGCAGAAATACCAGCCTGCATATATTGTGCTTGCACACTGCCCGTGAAGACTTTTGCACCAGCAGGATCAGCACAGGACACAGAGGCAAGAGAGGACGGGGTATGGGACTGACAATACAAACATCACAGAGCTCACTTAGGTGAATTGTTACCCATTGAACACAGACGAGCCCCACCCCTCAAACAGAACAAAGCTCTGGGGCCTCCATCACCAGCAAGAAAGGGGGCGGTACTTCTTTTCCATCCAACTTCCACATGGGCCAGGCCCGGAGAGGCCAAAGCAAAGCGAGGAAGATGCAGCCATTCAGCCAAGTTCCACGTCGAGGTGGGGAAAGGGGTCTCTCCAGTCCTCACTGCCTGATCCGGAACAGCCAGCTCCCTGCCCTCCAGCCCCATCCCCCCAGATACCAACGAATGCAGATGATCACGAAGGTGGTGATTTCATGCAGCCGCGAAACACCCTCGTTGGACCGAGAGAAGAAGAAACGTAGTTTCGTAAGAGCCACTGCGGATTATAAAGCCATCGCACTTCAGCGGGGGACTCCGAGGAAGGAAATAAGGAGTGAAAAGAAACCGCCACAGGACAACAGAGAGAAAAAGGAAAGGGAAACCATCATCATCGGAACACGACGACAGGACGAGAGACAGAGCACTTTCCGTGGGCAGGCCCCGCAGAAAAGGAGCTGCCGTGTCCGTGTAAATACAAAACCCAGCGCCCTCCAGCTGGAGGGGGGCAGCTGCCGCTGCAGCTGGTTTGGCATCCCATCTGGGGCAAGGGGTTCTGGTTATGAGCAGAAAACCCTGCAAGGGAAAGAGGAGAATGACTAGCTACCAATACTCCCTTCCACGCTTAGCCCAGCAGTCCCCCTTACTGGCACGGGACAGTTAGCCTTTAAATGCCATGAGCACATCTGGCCACCAGCCAGTTGAGCTTCAGCATGGAGCCAGTAAAGCCACCTTGGATCCCAATGAGTATTCTGCCATTTGGTTTCAGTGTGAACGGGATCGGGCCTTCAGTTAGCTCCCTTGGCTGGGGAACTGGCCATCTGGCTCCCCGGGTAGCCGGCAAGTTTGCCCCCCTACCAGGTGTGCAGCCCAGGCATTGGAGAGCTGTGGCTCCCAGGGAGCCTGACAGCTGGCTGGTCTGGTGTCCATTGACGAAATGGACACATTCCCACAGAACAATTCAATTCCGTCCAATTGGCGCGTTCCCACTGAACTTTATTCCATCGGGAAATTTTCAACCAGCTCCAGCTGTGCCTGCCCACTCCCGCGCTCTAGCTTGTCTGTTGTGCCAGGGGCTCGTGGAATGGCAAAGGCTGTGTTCGCGGATACAATGGGTCAGATTCACCTGGGCAGTTCCTTCTGGAATGGATTTAGCCCACTGAGTTGATCGTTCTCTCAAAGAAACTGTACTGCAGCTTTGTCTGATTCGACCTTTCAGATCAGAGGCCCGTTCCTGTCTCTGCTATTCCTGGCTTCATACATGCAAATAAATAAAAGGATCCTTCCGAGTTTTATTCCACCACCCACGCGCGTCTAAGAAACAATAAGAAAAGGAGTACTTGTGGCACCTTAGAGACTAACCAATTTATTTGAGCATGAGCTTTCGTGAGCATCTGATGAAGTGAGCTGTAGCTCACGAAAGCTCATGCTCAAATAAATTGGTTAGTCTCTAAGGTGCCACAAGTACTCCTTTTCTTTTTGCGAATACAGACTAACACGGCTGTTCCTCTGAAACCTAAGAAACAATAGTGCAGGTTAAAATAAGCACGTCAACTCACTCATCCGTGTCCTTTTTGCTTTCCTCAATGAACGCAATTGACTCAGATCTAAGGCGGTTAGTCACTTCATATGTACGCAAGGTGACTCCAAAAATATCCTCGTGGTATCGGTTGTCATCCTGAAACCAAGGACAACAGAGGCATGGCACCGGGAGAAGGGTGTAGTCACAATTTCTTATGGTATTTCTGTAGCACCTAGAGATGCTAGCTGAGGTGGGACCCCATTGTGGTAGGTGCTGTGCAAACACAGTGTGGGACAGTCCCTGCCCCGAAGAGCTTACATGCTAAATAGGCAAGAAAGGAAAAGCCTGCAAGGGGAAACTGAGGCACAGAGCGGGGAAAGTGGCTTCTCCAAGATCACCCAGTAGGTCAGGGGCAGAGCCATGATAGAATCCAGGTCTCCTGGCACTCTGTCCAGTGTCTACTACCCTGCGCTGCCTCTCTAAATGGCTACTTGTCCACATGCCTTAAGGTTAAAAGAGAGAGAAAGAGGGAGAAAGCCCAGGGGAATTGGAGATTCCCTACAGCCTCACAGGAACATTGCCATAGCGAACAGACGGCAATGCATGCGTACCAGTGCCCTGCACTGGATGGAATCAGAACCGCCTAACTGTATGTCATAGGCCCTATATTGCTAACAACTAGAGAAGCTTTCCTGTTAGCTCAAGTGGCATAGGCCTGTGCTTATGCAGCAGTAGGATCTGCATGGCCGTATTGTACAATATGTGACAACCATGAAGGTGCTAGGTGGCCACAGATTTGTTTTATTTGCTTATTACAGCGAGGACGCTATAACCAATTTTTAGATAGGTAAATAACACGCACGGGGGGTAAAGGCTATTAGCCGGCTGGACATTGCCGACTGTTCCAGAGACGTCTCCTGGGTAGGGCCAGCATTGCAAACGGACCCGGAACTGCAGCTTGTCCTGGCATTTCGCTGGCACCAGAGCTGCAGCAGAGCTAGGCCAGCAGTGGGTGAAGTGCTAGTGTGGACAAGGCTAACGGGGTTAATCTGCAGAAGCCGAGCTCCCCAAGAAGCTGTCCCCCAACGGACAAGAATTCTTCCAGGAACCAGGCCTTTGCGCAGACTTGCTCCCTCAGACACACTCCCTGTGCTGGACCGAGGCCGGCTGGTAACAGCAAGAACCATTCTGCCGATTTACAGATTTGAGGCAAGTCCCGGGCCCCTATGGTCTGCTGCAGGGGCCTGGTCCTCTAATAGCTCACCCATCACCCAGCTCCTTTGGCAAGCGAGGGGCCCTAGAGGGTCGGTAGAACAGGACTGAGCTACCTGGTCAGAAAGCCTGGGCCCACGAGGTCAGGTCAAGAGGCTGGAAAGGGTGGTACCTACTGACCACTCCCAGAGCTCATGGCCGCAATTATCCCTTCATCCGTGACCGTTCAAGAGGAAGCCCTGACGCCCTTGGCCCAAGCTTTCGCTGAGCCCTGCGGCAGGCTGGGGAGGGGCTACTCACCCTCAGCTTGCTAATGAAAGCACCGGCCTGCTCCACAGACAGCTGCCCCTGCTGCTTCACGATGCGCTGAATGGCCTTGAAGACATCCCCGGCCATGGTGACGTCCCCGCACACGTAGATGTGGCCTCCCTGCTCCTTCAGCGCTTTGTACACCGACTGAGCCAGCTGCTCCTGCAGCACGTCCTGCACGTATTTCTGGGGGAGACAGGAACGGATGTTGCACAGCACCTGTCACCCACAGCTCCCAAAGGGCCAGCCCAGCTTTACACGTCACTTCACCCCTCCACCCATCGGCGCAGGGCAGCCACCTCTGGGGTGGAACACGGCAGCCATTTAACAACGCATGGCAATGCTGCACAACTGTTTGGGAAGAGAACTGAAGACAATCAGGGCCTGCATGTTCGAAGGTGCTAAGCACCAGAAACTCCAGCTGAAGTCAGTGGAACTCCCCAGCTGCACAGCACCCCTGAGAAGCAGGCTCCCGGTGTGACTGTACCTACAGGGGGAAGCAGAGACACAGCGGGACTCAGCCAAGGCCCTGGGGTCAGTACTCGGCTAGGGGAAAGCGCCAGAGGATTGTTAATGTCCACAAGTGGCTTTAGGTCTCGTGGACATTAACAAGATGGAGAGGGCTGGTTAACGAGTCCGAGGGCTATCGTGCTGAAATTGCCTTGGCTGCTTCCTGTAAGCAGGGAACACCCTGGGGATTCTTAAATGGGAGATTCATTGGCCCACGTAGCTGTGAAAAGCTCGGGCCAAGCTCACGTCTTCAAACTAGTGCAGGCAAATCCCTCCAGGTGCGTGCACAAGAGGTCTGACATTTCCCCTACGTGGTTGGGAGAATCCACAGCCCTGGGGATGCCGGAGCTCCGCTCACCATCTGCGTTAGACTGGTCACGGCGACTCAGGGCTGGATGTAGGTGGCGTAGCAGGGTTACCTTTGGTTTGTCTGGTTCCCGGGAGTAGGCTGTGTACAGCTCTTTGAAGATGCCTTTGTTTTTGGCTAGGAGGGTCTCCTCTTTGTAAATGTGGTCGATCTTGGACTGTCGGCACCCAAAGACCAAAATCATCGGACAGGGCTTCAGTGCTGGAGCAGAGACAGGTGGAATAGCTGTGAGTCAGGAAACCATCCCCCGCACCCCGGTTCCCAAGCCTGGGTTTGCACACACCCTCCTGCATGGAGTGGAGACAGGCTGTGCTTGGATTCCCTCTTTGCCGGCTGCCAGCCATTCTGTGCACTCTGAGGGAGGCTATTTTGGATACATAGCTCTGTTCCCTGGGACAGCAGATGGCAGAGGCGGAAGGGTAGAGGGTAGAGGAGATACTTGGAGAGATTGTGTAACCTCTCAGAGCCGTGCGCATGGATCCAGGCTCCCAAGTAACTAGCGCTGGGTGAAACAGGTCAGGGTTTTTGGGTGGGAAATTTTAAAAAAAAAAAAATCACTTTTTTTTGTTTTTGCAATAAAATATTATTTTTAACCCATTTTGTAATTTTTCATTGAAAAACCAGGAAAAATGGAATGAAGTGTAATCTAAAGAAAATAATTCATGAAATTTTTCATTAAAAAAAAAAAAAAAAAGGCCAGTGGAACAATGTCAGACCAGCTCTATGACAGGTCATCTCACGGTCAGCGAAACAGAGCCACGGCTACACGTACGCACCATCTGCCACTCAGCTGGACGCCTCGAGCGCTGAACACACAAGGGCCCACCCCTGGAGCTAACAGAGCGAGTCTATTAGCTGCAAGTAACAGGCTCCGGTCCCCACCGGGACCAGCCACTGGAGGGCGACACGGTCACATGCCCTCAGCAGGGGCATTGCACTCAGCTTCGCTGAGGATGCTCGCCCCCTACTTACCAGAGGCTGAAGCCCCCAGACCCACCTTTGTGCTCGATTTCAAAGAGCCGCTGCTGCCAAAAGCTCCGGAAGGGGGCGATTCCCGTACCTGGGCCAATCAGGATGCAGGGAACCTGGGGATCTTGTGGCATGTGGAACCCAGGAGCTCTGGACAGACAAGTTGTCAAGTTAGTGATGCCCCTAATGGGACAAGGCCCAGGCTGGGTCACTGAAATCCTTGCGGGGGTAGAAACGTAGCGCAGACATGCGAGCGCAGACGTTTGAGTGCGGAAGGTGGTGGCAGAAAGTGGCGTTCGAAGCAGAGCGCGTGGTAACAGTCCCCACCTGCAGTCCCCACCGCGCTCTCTTCTGTGACCCCGGCTGTTCAGGGGCATCGGGTACCACGCCCCGCCCCATGGTCTGTATGGTGCTGTTGCAGACTGCTCTACGGAACAGGGCCTCAGCCCCTACCCCGTTCAGGGTGAGGAAGCAGTTCATTTGTAGAAATCCCTGTTAGTGCTGTGAGTGCACATGGCGGGCTACAGACAGGGATTCGGGGGCTCTCTGCTGTGAATAGCCGACAGATCAGTCAGTCTTGGAATGGTCTACACCCTCCCTGGCTCTCGGGGACTCCACATGCAGTGAACATGCCACTCACCCTCTTACAAAACAAGGCACAACTTCATCAGCCTGTATCCGGTTGAACCAAGAGGAACAGACCCCGTGGTGTATCGGTCCTTCCCCATCTAGGAGAGGAAAGGAGGAGAGGGTTTGTACCTGCCCCAGTACTGCTGAATGGATCGCTGCAGAATGCCCTGGCCATTTACCTCTCTGCCCAAACCTCCCCCAATCCTCACTGCGACGTCAGCCAACCTGTGACTCAGGGTCAGAATGGCCAGGCACTGGGTGGTCCCTGGGACCAATTCTGCTTTTCAGGGCGGGCTGGACCACTGCAGCACTCAGCACAGGCTGCCTTCTCCCAGGCAAACATCAGGGAGGTGCCGTTGGCTGGAGCAGGGCAGTTTGTGAATTTGCTGTGACCCTAAGATACTCCCTCTGCTGAGGGCCAAATGGTACCTTTCAGAGCTGTCTCCAGCTGGGTGAGTGCTTGCAAAGAAACCTTGGCCACAGGCTCCTGCTGGAGGTTTATAAAGCAGGTACCCCCTCCCCAACTAGGGTTCCTCCCACATGCCTTGAGAAGATGGCAATAGGCTTCTGTGCCACACCGATATTCTCCTGACAACACAAGCAGGCTGCGGGGCTGCGTGGAAGATGAACTTTCTGTAAGCTGCCCAGAGGTGGGAAGCAGGAGAGACACATGCCTGCTTGAGGGGGCCTGGCTGATCCACCCTGGGGGCCAATCTGGAGTCTCTTCTCCCCACCTCCACTGCTGTGAGGCAGCCAAGACGAGCGCATGCAGCCTGTGTGCTGCGAAGTACAGAGCGGCCTGGAAGAGCTGGAAAGCCGCCGGTTTCTGCTGCTGCGTCTGGCTGCCACAGCCCCCAAGCCCCACCCCGAGGGAGCCCCACGTGAGCAGGCAGCAAGGTTTTAACAAGGGATTCCCCCGTCCCCAAACACTCACACGTGCCCCCATGTGTTAATGGCCATCACCCACAATGCAAGTGGAGATGAGGGCCCCCATCTCAACACTGCCTGGGGCCTGCGTGTCCACCTCGCCCAGCGCTATGGGACGGCTCTAGCCAGTCGCCACCATGCAAACCATGAGCCCCTTGCAGCGCTGCTGGCATGGTACCTCTAGTCCGGTAGGAGAGCACGGCCACGGTGAGGTGCACCTCGTCCGGGGACATGTCGGGGGAGGAGCTGATGGAGTAATAGCGAGGCTGCAGCACGGGCAGCTGGGTGAGCAGCAGGGTGGAGGGCATCTGCACGGACGGGAACTCCTCCAGCACCTCCACCACGGTGGGGTTCTTGGACCATTTCCACTCCTCGTATTCCTGCAAGCCCTGAAGCGCGGGAGGGAAAGGACGGGTGAGCGCCGGTTCGAAGCCAGACACACTGCACCACGTGGGCCCCACGGCAGGGTGGAGCCGACGAAAGAGAGCTCTGGCTGGGGATGCCAGGACGTGTGGCTGCGACTGCCTCTCACAGGGCTCCAGGACACCCAGGGCTCTAGCCCTGATTGCCACGCATCCTAGGGTCTGCTCCTCAGGGCTCAAACGTTCCTGATGGAGCCTTCAGTGGATTCCGAGCTTCTCCCATTATAAGTCACACGTGCTGCACAATCACAAGGGATCCCAGGCTGAGAGACTCTCCTACACAGACACAGCAGTAGTGGTGCCAGACACCCATGCTGATTTCAGAGGAAGGAGGGTCTAGAGATCAGGACAGGGAGTCAGGAGCTGTACGCTCAATCCCCAGCTCCACCACAGACTCCCTGTGTGATCTTGGGCACGTCACTTAATTTGAGAGCCCTCCTCCATAAGACAAGGAGCTGCGAGGTTAAATTCACTGAGCATAAAACACGCTGAGGGGGCTACATCAGTGCAAAGACGTTGACCCATTAAACTGTCTCAGTAGCCCTGGGTAAGGAGCCAGTGCGGGGGGAACCACATTGATCAGGGTGAAAGAATGTATCTTGGGGACATGTAATTTCCACAGGTTGCATTTCGGTATGAACCGCTCCAGGATCTGAGAAGGCAAGTCACTGACAGCAGTTTACATAGACAAGCTGCTTTCTTCATCCAGATTCATCCTAAGACATTCAGGAGGCAGATAGAGAGGTGGAGTGTTCACCGAGAGGGAGCGGTTTCTCTCTCTTTCTCTCTTTTATGGGGAGGGAGCTCTCTCTGGTTACCACTGTCTAAGGTTAAGCAGAAGCATGGGGCAAGTAAACCTCCTACATTAGGAAGAGGCTGCCAACCAGACCTATGGATTTACCTTGCTAAGGACCTGCAGACGTTTCTTCTCCTTGTCGCTGGTGGCCAGTAAGGCAAACTGCTGCAGCAGCAGCGGGGTGGGAGGCGTGGTGATGTCCAGGTAGCACTTAAATGCCTGGAAGATGGTGCAGGGTGGGATGCGGTTCTCATCCGTCCAGTTACTGATGACACCTGACGGGAGAGAAGCCAGTACAATGCTGTGATCAGCTGAGCCTGCCAGCCCACCCTGGGCAAGCCAATGAAGGCTCAGACTCCAGTGGGAGACAATGAATGAGGAAGGGCTAGAAAGAAGAGTCTGGCATGATCTCCTGGAGCTCGCTATGACCTCACCTTGTACAATTGGCCACACTAACGATACAAGACTGGGAGAACCAGATGCTGTATCACTTTGGGGAGAGAGCACTGGCCATCCGCTTAGCGCAGAGCAATGGAGCATTAGGCCCATAGAATGTCCAGTATGGAAGAGCCCGGCCAATCAACACCCTTCAACTCTACTTTCCATGGACCAGTTGTTCAGGTCTTGCATCCTGAAGAGGTTTCAGCTTGCCAGAGGGAACAGAAAACCCTCCCGTACAGCCCTGCTCTTCCATGACATGGCTGCTCTGAGCATCCCACAGCCCCAGAGCGCAGCTCAGCTGTGGATCTGGGCACCCTCTCTCATGACGGGGAAGCTAAAACCAGCGCGACAAACCCTACAGTCCTTATGGGAATGCACCAGGGAATGTGGTCCAACCCCCCACCCCCACCCCGCTAGGATCCACATGGCACCCAGAGACTCTGCAAGGGCAGGGGGGAAATGGGGTCCAGCCAGCCCCAATCAGGGTGTCTGAGCTGGCCCTGGTTACCTAAAGCTGTGCTCCTCTCCTCCAAGAGCTCCACCTTCACCAGCTGGTTGGCTGGGGGTGCATCCTCAAGTCTTTCCATCAGGGCGCTGACCAAGTCCTCGTGGTTGCCTGGAAACACTCCCAGGTGGTCTCCAGGCTGGTAGCGCAGCTCCTGCTGCCCGTTGGTGTGAAGTCGCAGGAAAATCGTTGACCGACTGCGGGGGGGAAGAGGGGCGTGAAAAACCAAACAGACCCAGCACTGTGACGAGCCCTCTGGACAGCTGTAGGCCCGGAACTAACGGGGCCCAGCTCTGGGAGCTGTTTCGTTAGGTGTGATTTTCTAAGGAGCAGGAAGGAGGGCACAGGAGCAGCCCAGAGTCTGCCCAGATGATCGTATGTTTGAACTAACAAAAAGGAAACAAGAATGGGAGCTTAGGAAAGAATCTGCCCTCTGTTCAGACTAGCCACCCGCCCCACTCTCCTGTGGTGGCGTTCTCCGTTCCTAGCCATTCTTCTGCACCCAGCTTGGAAAGCTGAACCCGCTGGCCCAACATTGTCCTTTGTGGAACTTCCGCGTCACCTGGCATGCCACGAATGCAGCACCCTGGGTGCAGGGCACTGCCCCTTTCTCGGCACGAGCATGGTTGGTGTCAGCAGGAACGTCTCAAGGAAACCGGTCAGCCCCCGACCGGCTGCAGCCCTAGCAGCAGGAGCCCATGTACTGGTTTGGTGTGTCACGTCAAAAGTGGGGGCCACAGGTGTCCATGAGGAGAAACTCCACTGAAGTGCCTGAGGCCCTACCGTTGTAAAGCACGTGGAAGTGAGGCCAGGTCTCCACTACACGCTGACTTCGGTAAACGATGTCACTCGGGGGTGTGGTGCACAGGCAGTTGTACCGAACTAACCGCCGGTGTGGACCCCGCTAAGTCGACGGCTTCTCCCACCCACATAGCAAAGGTGAAGCATGTTCAGGTGCATTACTGCTGGGGATACTTTGGGGTGGTCTGCACAGACAGGAGCATGCCCGAGATCTCCATAGAGGATTCACTGCATTAGATGCTAGGGAACATTCTCCACCAAGCTAGAAGGAAGGTTTGTAATGCAGGGCACACTTTAGGCCTGGCCTGGTTGATGGATAGCGGAGATGCTTGGAATTAAGAAGTTGGAGAGTGCGAGGGATGTGGGTCACGTGTATGCACAAGGGCAGACTGCGTGTGCGCATGGCTGTCAATCCTACCTGGATTTTGGGCTCTGCAGATTCTGGCGCGTGAGAAGCCGGGCGGCATAGACTCGCTTTTTGTGAATGCTGTACAGACCTGCAGATGAGAAGATTCAATCAGATGAAAGCGGCAGAGACTGGCGAGGGCAGGCTGCCTGCATCCCCGCCCCCGGGGTCTGGCTGGGCACCACCACATTCAGCATTTCAGAACCTGGTCTGGCAAGCATCAGCTGAGTGATTCCAGGGCTGCCCTGGCTTGGGCCCTCCTGCTCCACCCCACGGGAGACCCACAGTGAGTGACTTTGCTGGTAAGCCTCAGGGAGCCTTCGGGGCCATGTGAAAGGAGCACATGATTGCAGCAGCTCCCTGCTCTCAGCAGGTGGGTAACCAGGGGGATGGAGAAACAACCACCCCACCAGCCCCAGGCACATACACACTCTTCATTCCTCTCACCACCCAGACCATCTGGTTGGCAAGTGGGCGTCTGAATTCAGGAGGAGCTGAGGCAGCGCTCCGTATACCAGCTGCAGGAGCCACGCTATCGTGCTGGGTTTTAGTGGGTTGGCCCCACCCTGGATGGGAGAGTTTTAAACAGGTGGCTTAGAGCACTGCGGGATTTCCACTTCTTCCACTTGCTCTCAGCAGTGACTGTGTCTGCTCTGCAAGAGGAGGCAGCAGCAGGCAGTCCGGATTCAGCGCCGCCCTAGCATACCACTGCCCTGGCACAGGCCCGCCGCCAGCTCGAGAGGCTGGCAGCTGCCTGTCTCCAGCCCCTTCCTCCAGCCGAGCGTGGGCTTCCGACCCTGACTGCAGCTGGAGCGGGTGGTGAAGAGGGAAAACCAGACAGAACTTCAATGGAATTCTCCTCCCAGGCCACAATGCGCCATTCGGGGGGACAGGAGGGGCTTGAAGTTGAATGAGGGGGTGGGGACAAGGGGGAGTTTTCTATCCAGCGATAGGGTTGGATGTTGGGTGAAGGATATGGGAAGAAAAGAGAGCGGGAGAAAGGAACCGGAAGGAGGGAGGTGACAGAGCAGGAGGGTGAGAATGGAGGGAGCATGGGAAGAGCAGAGGCAGGACACATCTGAGAGACGGTGAGATGGAGAAGAGAGAGTCAAATACCCAGAGAGAGGCATGAGAGGGTCTCAGCAGAGCTCTGTCCAGGGCGACCTGCACCCTTCCCGCAGGCAAGCCCACCACTGGCCCCGAGGATTGTCATCTGCCCTGGCGTCTGCCCCTTGCTCAAAGCCCCCCGGTGACCAAGTGGCCGTACCTTGGGTGAGCTCGGGGGCCTCAGCCACATAGGTCAGGCGGAACTTGCTCCTCTTCCAGCTCCGGTCGTTGCTGATGAGGGAGTTGTTGGCCTTCTCAATGTTCACGTCGTCTCCCACACAGAACACATCGCACGCTGCCTGCAGCGCACACCAGGCTGTCAGGGGACCCCCCAGCTCAGCCAGGCCTTCAGCCCAGCCTGGCTCCTAGGAGGTGCCCCCACCTGCTCTCAGCCAACACCCCTCCCGCCCACATGCTTATGGAAGGGAGAGCGGGATGGCACTGACTAGGGTGAAGCACAATGCACGGAGGCTGGGCAAGCATGGGCACATGTTCTGCATGGGCACATCTGTTAGTGTCAGTGTCACCACCCCACCCCGCCACTCACATGCACAGGGGAATATTCCCTAGAACTCGCCCTCCTCTGTTGCACATGGGCTTAAACCAGAAGCCCGGTTCCGATCGCCCCAGAGTTTGGGGTGTTTGGAATCTGAAATGGCCCCTTCTTTTTATAATGGGCCAGACCAGAGCCTTGGTTCCCACCACCTCCAGAGTTTGAAGGTCTCCAGATTCCACACCCAGGTTCTTTCACCAGCTTTTGTGATTTGACCACGAGTCTCTTGGTGTCTGAGGTTTCTCTTTAATGCCCCAGCTCCTGGAGTCAGGTTATTATAAGAGACGATGAACTTTTCTTAAAAATAAAAGGAGTAAAAGTCTAGTCCTCATGGGGTGGAGGAAAGCTTAAAGCCATGACCACTAATGGCTCAAGAAGCAGAAGGCTGGTAAATGGAACTCAGCGCTGACTATTGTTAACTTGGTCTCCAATTTGTTTTTACCTGACATGATTTTTGAACATGTGGGGCTGGCAATACTGGATTCACATCCCCATTTGGCCAAGGGCTCCCCTCCTTATACATTGGCTGAACCAAAACCCGGGGTCCAAACACCCAGCATACTGGGCAGCTCACGATCCAGACCCAAAGCTAGAGCCCACCTCCCAGAATGCACTTAGATACCTCCTCCAAACCCTCAAAGACAACCCAGCCCGGCGAGAAGGCTCTGCATTATCCTCAGCTCTGCTCTAGGTCTCTAGTGGAGCTCCTAACTGCCCCCTGTGCCACCTGAACCAGCTTGGTCCCCACGCCCTGTCCAGGCCCCCGGGGGCTGCAGTGCACGGGCAGGAGGCCTGAGGAGCCTGGTCTCTGAATCTTTGCTTCGCTGCAGGACCCTCACAAGAGCAGGGGTGGCTAAAGATGTGAACTCCAAACGGCTTGCATTGTGCCAGGGTGCTGGGGACCCCGGGGGCGAGCTCAGGCCCAACTAACTGAAAGCAGATTTGACCAATGGCAGCCTCCCAGGCTCTTTCCCCCACCCCTCGCTCCCCTTCCCAAAGACCAAGGAAGCAGACTACCTTGAAGACCTTTTTGGCCCATGTCCTGAAAGACTCTTCCTGGCCACAGAGCTCATCCCCCTCCCCCATGCGGAGGATACGCTCCCCTCCCAGCTCCTCCAGCAGGGTGTCGACGGCACGGGCAAAGGCGCAGAAGTGGGGGTAGGCACGCGATCCTAGGCCGAACACCGAGAACCTGCAAGCAGACCAGAAAGCTGCAGCTACCCGAGGGCGACAGCAGAGACAAGAGGCAGAGCGGGCAGCGTCTCCCTGCAGAGGCAGGGCTCGCACCCACACGGCATTGCCCAGCCTGGGGGCCCAGCAGCGCCAGCAGAAAAAGAGAGGCACGGAAACTCCTCTGCAGCCCTCAGGGCCCCCCAAAACCAGGGCGTCAGGCCTCAGCCTTCCCCTGTCTGCAACCAAGGGAGGAAACCTTACAGAGGCAACCATGCCTCACCAGTTCTGGGAGGAAACAGCCACGGGGGCATCAACCACCACAGGCATCGCCACCCCATGCCAGGGCAGCAGGGACACGGCTGGCTTTGCCTGGCAGGGACTGGTGGGGTCTGGCTAGCAAAGTGCCAGGCAGGAGAGGCCGGAGCCAGGGCTGACGCCCCATGGGAAGTAGATGAGCCAAGCACAGAGAGTCGCAGCTTGTTAATCTGGCGGGTCTGGGGTGATGCCTTGTGACTAGGGACCCAGGAGGTCAGGGTGCACTGACCAAGTCAGTCAGGAGAAGGGGGTGAATATAACAGAGACATCGAGCCAGGCTAGCTCAGGGAGCTGGGGTTATTTACCCGTTGCACAGCTGCTTCGAGGAGATCTTTGCTCCAGGGAGCTGTGGCTCTGACAGACTGGGTGCCAGCTCTGGCCCAGGTCCCCGTGCCTCCACTGAACCCGGACAAACGCAGAGCTGGAGCCGGCCTGGCAGGTGTCAGAATGTGTTTAGGCCTTATGGATTGTGTGTGAGCTGCTGCCTGCATTAATCTCACTTGTAACAGCTGTAGCCCCTGTTCTAAGGTAATACTTGAGCGTTCTGCGTGGTGAGCCTCTGCAAATCCCCAGACAGGAGACAGCCGTGAACTAGTGTGAAGTGCCGATCTCCAGCAGAAGGTGTGACGGCCTGGCCAGCAAGACAGGCCCATCAACGCCAGACTACTGCGGAACACTCAAGGGGACGAAAGACTCTGCTGATTGTTCTCCTCCCCTGTTTTATGAAGAGGAGTCATGACAGTGAATTCCTCCCATCAGCTGGGTTTGCAGCTCAAAGCGCAAGGGGGAAAGGGAATAAAAAGCCCCAACAAGGAGGAACTCTCTCTTTATGGTGCTTGGGCTCTGGGGGGCAAGGATTACGAGGCGTAACTAAAAGATCCCCAGTGCTTAGTTTGGGTCAGCCCTAGAGGACATATAGAGCTTGCTTCTTATAGAAGCTTCTATTACTTTTTGAAAGTTAAGCTTGTAACTCATTTGTCTGTGTGTGTGTGTTTACCTGCTTTAACCTTGTGCATAACTCTCTTGTTTCCTTTTCCTATATAATAAATCTTCAGATCGTTTATTATAGGGTTGGCTTCATGCGTTGTCTTTGGTGTGAGATCTAAGGTGCAATTGACTTGGGGTAAGTGACTGGTCCTTTGGGACTGGGCGTAACCTGAATAGCGCTGCGATGGCTGGTGAAAGAGCCTATCTATCACAGAGGCAGGCTTAGCTGGGTGGCAAGACCGAGGATTCGGAGTAGCCAAGGGAACTACCTGGGACTCCATGGCTAGGCTGTTCCAGTGCTTGAGGAGTTCACACTTGATGGATGGTTGGTTGGTGAAATCCAAGTACAGAACTCACACCCAGTTTGGGGCTTGGGCCCTGGTTCTCAGACTGCCCAGAGGTTTGTGCTCACCGCTTCTGAGGTACTGCAGGACCGCTTGGCAGATATCATGGGGTTGCTGGCCTCTGTAATGGGCCCACGGTCCAGGCTACCCCGACCAGCTAATTTAAGGGGAAGGAACCCATCTAGGTAGTTAACTGAACAACGAGCACCTGAGCCAGATAAAAGCCATCCGGGCTCAATTCCAAGGAGGGGCGCCCAGAGCGAGGAGCTCCCAGAGCCCACAGCTCTGAAGAGGAGGACGGCAGCCTCAGTGGCTCTGCGACCCCTGAGCCCAAGGGAGAGTCTTTATTTCAAGTTTATTTGGGGATTTAATAAAGCAGAACCCAGCAGGGGAACTGCATGTTACACCCTTCTGGACTCTCTGGAATTCTTAAGGGGCCCCGAGAGAAGGGAAACTAAGGCAGGGAGTGCCTCCAGGGCCACATTAGGCCAAAAGAGAGCGCTACAGGGCAGACATGCCCTAAAACATGGGTACTGGGTCCTTTGCAGCAGCTGCACTGTCCCGTCTCTCTCCTTGCCTGCTGGAGACAGGCTGAGCCCTCAAGAAGCTAGCAGCTCCCTCCCTCTCCATCCTGCTCACCTGACATTAGCCAGAGGCCCTGTGCTCTCAAAGTTGTCCCTGGCTTCGGGCCCGTCACTTGAAGACTTCCGTGCGTCCAAGTATGAGGAGACGCTGTTAAAACGGACCTTATAGCTCCTGCAAACAGCAATGACAACAAGCATTACGGCAACCGCGGCATCTCTACACCTACTATTGGGCCACCATGCCAGCGGTAGGATGGGCAGGCGAGTGCTGGGTACTGGGGCGCAGCTTGGACAGCTCTCACCAGTCAGGGCCGGAGTTCAGGGCTCTGCTGTTTGCCTGCCCCAGGGGAGGCTGTTAGTGATGCCAACAGCGGAGCAGGGAGCTGCCCTCCCTTCCCTGCAGTGGGTGCAATCCACCCTCAGTGTACGTTACATGCCTCCCGATGCACAGAGGAAGTGAGTCTGTGACAAGCCCCAGCTGGCCAGCCTGGCTCAAGCTGCAGAGACTCACACACTCTGGAGGTCCCCAGTTCACGGCATCTGCTGCGGTGGGGGAAGCAGAAACATTGACCTTAGCACATAAACAAGTGCTCTTTACCTCCTGATCTGAAGGTCACTGTCCCTGGGTTCTGGTGGCTTCCCCCAAAGGGACAGTGGTCAAGCCGGGAGTGTCCTGTACTGAGAAACTCCAGCCACTCTTACCGGAGAGGTCCATGCTAACAGCAAGAGCGTCCCCAGAGCTCACTGTGGGACATGGAGGACTGAGACTGTCTATCAGATAGCCAGGCTCCAGGACGTTCAGGCCCTTAAAGATAGTAGCCAACAGCTCAAATTGTTCTTGGCTGTGACTGCAGCAGCCAGTGCCGAGCTCAGACGCTTGAGTTATATGTTGCTGCCCACCTCACAGCTCAACTACAACCTCCTGCCAGGACACCCCGTAATATGGTGTATCGCAAGTGTCCGGCGTGGAGGCGACACACACGAACAACACAGCGGAATCCTTTCCACGGAGACACCTCTGGGGGTGGCCTATTGTCCTGTTTCATCAGCTGTCCCGTTTAGGGGAAGAGGCCACTAAAAACCATAATGGGTTTTCAGATTGCGAGCCCTGTAGGGATCTGTCACATGACATGTCCGCATAGCGGGTAGGCCACTTTGGGGCTGCAAATAACTAACATTACTGCTCTGCACAAGCATGTTATCCGCTGCACTTGACCACCATTTCTTAACTTCTGAAGGAGAAGACCAGAGTCAAGACTTTCCTACCTCTAACATCTGATTAAAACACACTTACCACTGGCCAGATACTAATTCTGTCCTGACTAAGCAGCAGACACTACCATTCACTATCCTCATTACGTTAATTCAAGAGACTTCATAGGGAGTGGATGTCTCAATTAAGTGGAATATGCTGTACGTCACCCCTGAAATAATAACCACCACCAATAAATGTTTAACACTTTGCCATTCTGCAGCAACCTGGATCTCAAAGCTCTTTACAAATGTTTAACTAACTCTGGCAGATGTCAAGTAACTTGCCCAAGTCTCATCTTGCTTCAGTAGCAGAGCCAGTAACAGATGCCAGAAAACTGACTCCCAGTCCTCTGCTCTAACCCCAAACCATACTTCCTTCAAGGAAGGACACAACCTTAGCTTGACCACAGCACTCGTGTGCCTTAGAGGTGTTTTTGCACAACACGGCAATAAACTGAGGCCAGGCCCCTCTAACATCCCCAGGCCTTTCAGCCCACCTAAAGCGATTTTATGGGGAGTTTTTCTATATTCGGGGTCTCCCTTGAAGCCCCAGCATCTGGATCTGTGTGAGAATCTCAGCATTTTAAAGAAAGTTACGAGCCCTTGTAGTTGCAGAGAAGAGCTGAAAAGGTGATCCTTCAAGGCTTAAAGGCAAATAAAAAGAACACATTTATCATTTTTAAATAATCTCAGTGTTTAGGGTTGGCAGTACAAAGATACAGAGCTGCCTGGAAGAAGAGAAAGCTGTGAAACATTGCCACCTAGTGGTAATCTGATTTAACTACTCCTGTATGTTCAAAGCATAGCCACACATCTTGATTATCACTACAAAAGGTTTTTTTTCTCTCCTGCCGGTAATAGCTCACCTTACGTGATCACTCTCATTACAGTGTGTATGGTAACACCCATTGTTTCATGTTCTCTGTGTATATAAAATCATCCTACTGTATTTTCCACTGCATGCATCCGATGAAGTGGGCTGTAGCCCACGAAAGCTGATGCTCAAATAAATTTGTTAGTTTCCAAGGTGCCACAAGTCCTCCTGTTCTTTTTGCGGATACAGACTAACACGGCTGCTACTCTGGAAGCTACACATTTGTGGTTCCTGGACCACCGGTAGTTCATGGGGCACTTGCTGTTGGCCCACAGACACTTGGCTGGTTGCAGGGTGCTGGCTCCTCTTCGTTTGCAGCAGCTAGTTTGCATTAAAAGAAGCTAAAATACATGCCATAGTTTCTTGTCCTTTTCCATGTAAGCCATTGCTGGGGCTGCCTCAGGGATGATAGCCCATTATCGATAGCAGGGGAGAGGGCCGAGAGACAGCGAATGGGAGGGGAGAGAGCCAGGAGACTCTGTGAAGATGCGGTCTATGCTATGAAAAGCAGTCCATGCAAAGGCCAGCAGTGAGCCCAGTTTGGGCTCCATTTCTGCATTAGTGGTGTTTATCTGTATGGCACGGTCGCAGGGTGAGCTGGCCCTTTAAAAGGTTAGCCCACCTTCCCTGGCAAAGAGAATGAGAGTGCAGGGGTCACGTGTGACTAAGAACCAGGCCTGCTGTGAGATATAAGGGTGGCCGGTGACTAATCAGGAGAAAGACTCCAAGGACAGCAGACCTGGGAGATCAAGCAGGAAGAGGCCCCGTGCAGGGATGACAGGGCAGTTTGGGTTATTGCTTGGAGTCCTATGGCTGGGGACCTGTAATAGAGGGTTGGCATGGGTGCCCCCCAAGCTGCCAACCTGCAAGTGGCTGCAGCCATCAGCAGTTAACAAGGGGAGGAAGGGACTGGTAGGAGCCCAAGAGGGCTGGAGCTGAGCCCAGTAAAGGGCTAAAGACTTGTGAAAAGGACAGAGGGGCCTTAGAGGTCCGGCTTTGCCTCAGCAAGAGAGAACTCTGGGTAAGCCCGAGGACTGAGTGACCTCAGGGCTGCAGTGCATTGAAGGCTCCTGCATAAGAGCACAGCAGCAGCCTATGAGGCTGAGGATGACTGCACTGAGGGAGGAAACTGAGGCAGCAGACAGGCCTGATGCCAGACCAGGTAACTCCCTGCTACAGCTGCTGTTAAAGAAAGACACAGCTGCCAAATCTGGATCCAGATTCTGAACCCCTGGAGAAGCTGGATCCCGGGTTTGCCTCGGGCCCATCTTGAGTTCACAGTCTCTGCGTTCAGTCTTGCGGCAACAGCAGTCTGCCTTGTGTCCTCACTGCCACAGGATCTGAGCACCTCACGGTTCTCAAAGTCTCTCTCCGCTTCACCGAGGCGGAGAGCCGGTACGGCTACAACGCAGAAAAACCTCACAGCAGCGAGTCTCCGAGCCCGGCTCAGCCCACTTGGGTTGTGGGGCTCAAACTAGTGGTGCAGAAGTTGGGGCTCTGCATGGAGCCTGGCTCTGGGACCCTTCCGCCTCCCTGGGTTTCAGAGCCCAGGCTCCATGCAGAGCCAAACATCTACACTGCTATTTTGGGCCCTGCTGCGTGAGCCCAACTCAACTGACGCAGGCTCTGAGACTTGCTGCCGTGTCCTGTTCTGTTTGCCATGGAGACGTACCCTAAGTGACTTGCTCAAGGCCACATGGGATGTCTGTGGCAGAGCAAGGGATTGAATGTGTGTCTTTTGAGCCCCAGGCCAGCACCCTCCCCAGTGGACCATCCTTCCTCTTTCTCCAGTGCGCTTCTCCCAACAAGTGCTCTCCTGCCCAGGCCAGAGCCGTACGATTCTGCAGGGGTGACCGGCTTCGCCCCCATGGCAAACTAACCAAAAGGACAGGTTTCAGAGGAACAGCCGTGTTAGTCTGTATTCGCAAAAAGAAAAGGAGTACTTGTGGCACCTTAGAGACTAACCAATTTATTTGAGCATGAGCTTTCGTGAGCCACAGCTCACTTCATCAGATGTGTACCATGGAAACTGCAGCAGACTTTATATACACACAGAGAATATGAAACAATACCTCCTCCCACCCCACTGTCCTGCTGGTAATAGCTTATCTAAAGTGATCAACAGGTGGGCCATTTCCAGCACAAATCCAGGTTTTCTCACCCTCCACCCCCCCCACACAAATTCACTCTCCTGCTGGTGCTAGCCCATCCAAAGTGACAACTCTTTACATCCGTCAAGGAGAGTGTAACACCCCTCTCCCAGCCCCATCTCTTACCAAGCCAGGAACTTCTGCTGGGCTAGACCCAGTGTCTTGTTGGAGGGAGGAAAGGGGATGACATGCAAGGGGATTTCATGCCAGGGAAGGTATATAGACTCATTGCCCTAGAGCCAGGCCTGCACTGCAATCCTCCAAACACTGGAATTCTGGATCAGCTTTACATACAAGCAACTGTCCGGGGTCCTGTTCTTCTGGGAGGGCCACCAGGCAGCTCTTGACCTGGTTCTCCCCCTCATCTAGCAAAGCACAGGATATACCAGGCCCAGTTCCACACCCCCTCAGAAGGCTGCATTCTTCTCCCTCAGCAGAGCCCACCTGACCTGGTCTCTTGCTTGGGTCCCTACAGACCCAGAAGCCAGTTTTGGATGGCAGTGGAGTGGAGTGAAATTGCCAAGGTTTGTTTCACCTGTGACCTCAGCCTGGTCCAGAGGGGAAAGGCCAGTGCTAGGACCGGCTGCCTGAGTACAGACGAGTCCCTCCCCAGGCCATAAACGTGCAACCTCTGTTGGGATAGAGGCCAGCTAACCCAAGGGATGGATGTGGTGCCTGGTTCCCCAGGGACGGGCCAGCTCTGCTGTGGTGGGAGTGAGGCAGGGCTCTTGTCTGAGTCTCTTACTTCCTCTCTTCCAGGTGAGAGTTGGGATTCCTCATTTCCATCATCGCGCAGCCGAATTTCTAGAGAGAGAGAGAGAGAGAGAGAAACACAGCAGGGCCGTCACTTCCACAGACTGTCGTACAGGACACCCAAATGTAAGTGTGGGTCCAGGTGGCTGCACCATCCTGCTTTAGAGGCCCCCACCTGCTTTCACCAGTGGGACCCAGCCGTGGGGCATCTGCCCCGTGCACTGGGACTGAACTCATCTATTGCTCTGTAAGCCCACTGGGGCTAGGACCAGAGCCTTGAGGGTTCATACAGCACCAAGCACATCCGCAGGTTAATAATAATTTGCCCTTGTATGGTGCGGTACATCAAAGGGTCTCTAAGCATTGAGGGCCTGATCCAACCCACTGAATCTGACTTTGATGGACTCTAGGGCCTGATCCAACCCCTTTCACTGACTTTGATGGGATCTAGAGCAGGCTTTTAATTAATTAAACCTCACAGCCTCCCTGGGGGCAAGGCAGATGTTCTCCCATTCTACAGATGGGAAAACTAAGGCAAACTTTAGGTCTCACAGCAAGTGGGGGGCAGGTTTGGGACAGAACCCAGGTCCCGAGATGCCCAGCTATGTACTTTGACCACTGCACTATGATTCCCGCTCTCCGCAATGAATGGGCCTACAGGTGGGTGCCACTCCCCCTGCCCCACCATTACTGCCATGTGCGGTACTGGGATAGTTCTTAAGTCTTTCCTACCTCCCCATTCTCTGGTGGGTCTCCATTGCCAAAGGTGCTTGTGACCACCAGGACGAGGGTTTCGTGTTCCAGGTGGACTATGTCGTACTCATCCATGGACATCACCTGAGACAGACAGAGATGCTGGTAGTAGCCCCTTGCACAGGGAGACTCACTGCCATTCAGCTGTCTGGGCTTTACAGCTAGGGGCCAAAGCCTCTGTGCAGTTCTACCATCGGCCCGAGGATCTGGCAGAGAACTTGGCACTGAGATCCCATCTATAAGGCTAAGGGAGGAGGCCCAGAGACTTAAGGGAGAGACAAATTCTGCTCTCCTTGGGGACTTCCATGGGGCTAAATGGGTAACAGAGGGCAAAACTGGGCCCACAAGCCTCTCCAAACGTGTTCAAATTGAAGGCAGCTTCTTTGGCATCCAGGCCTCGGTCCCTTAACCGGTCCCAGGGCCCAATCCTGCAAGGTGCTGTGGGCCTGCAATTCCTAGGAAAGTCCCTGGGAGTCAAGGGAGCCCAGCAACTCGTTGCATTGGGCCTGGTGTACGTAAGCCACATAGTCCCGTGCACTGTTCTCCATGGGCAGAGAGCTGGTAACGCTACCTTGGCATCGAAAGCGTGCTTGAAGATTTCACATAAGGTTTTTGCATAGACCTGGGACTTCCCCGTTTCCGTGGCATAGAGGATGGTCGCTTTGACCCTCTTGGCCATTGCCTGCCCCATCAGCTTGGCAGAGAACTTCACGGCTCTGGGAAGCAAGTAGAAGCCTTGATAAGATACTTGGACATGAGAAGCCCAGTATGCAATTCCCCCCCATCTCCCTCTGTCTCTCTCTCTCTCTCCTGGATTTCAAGCATGGCTGTGTGATCACGGGGGAGTGATTAGTTCACAACGTGGGGTGAGAGTTCTAGAGTCTGGGGAAAAGTAAGAGGAATGGTTTTAAACAGCCACTGCGCCCCACTCAGCCACGATTTACAGCCATGCGAGGCGGCTGGAGACCCCTGCCTGGGTGGAGAGCACTGTTCCCTCCAAGCTGTGCGCGTGTGCAAACGCACAGATCCTAAACCCCGCGCACACGGCGAAACACTGCGTGCACAAAAATTTGCACAGAAGCACAACAATTTGCACAGAAGAAATTTTTTGCGCACACGGCCTGTCAAAAATTAGAGGGAACATTGGTGGAGAGGCAGCCTTCGACGCTCTGCCCAGCTGTAAGTAACTGCACAGGGCTCAAGGCAGTGGGAACCAGTCCCCTGCTGCCTATGGAAACACACCAGTGTGCTGCTGGCTCTAAGGGAAGCCTGCCAGCTTGCGCTCTCATGTTGTCAGATCTCAGACCTCCAGAAAATGTTTTGTATCTTGCACTCGTGCACGCCCAGACAGTATCTGGGAAGTGGCTTGTTTCTTTGTTTCCGAGAACAGGGAAGTCAACAAGGCTTTTGAGTTTGTTAGAATAAGAAAAAACACACACTTCCTTCCCGGTGCACAGGGCCCAGGACTTACATCTGGCCTGGGCTGCTCTGGGAATAGTGTGGATTATTAACTAAACTGAACCTGCACCTCTTCCCAATCAGCCAGGGTGTCTGTTCACTTAAAACCCTGCATTTTGATCACCGTCATGTCCCAGTGGGTACAGCACCTATGGGCATAAATTGACTTGTGGGAACAGTCTCATGGGGATCACCCCCAGGAGCCAACTTACTCCCCTTTAAATGGTTGCAGGACAGGGGCTCTAACCACCTGCCTTTCGTTTTCTGCAGCAGGAATCTATTTCCTTGAGCAGCCGCATCCATTAGCTTTGTCTATATAAAAACTCCTTTTGCCCCAGAATTTTCAACCATTACTACCGTTGGTTCATCTCCACCAGCTCGAGCACTAGTGTGGACAGGGGACCACTCGTGTTTCAGGCCCTGTGTCCTCTAACCTAGCTCAGAGCAGCTCTCCGGGTAGGTCGATGCTGCAGCTGGAGGTGTCATTTCCAGCTGGAGTAGACGTACTGCGCTAGCTCTGATTGAGCTAGTGTGCTAAAAATAGCAGTATAGCTTTTGGGGGGAGGGATAGCTCAGTGGTTTGAGCATTGGCCTGCTAAACCCAGGGTTGTGAGTTCAATCCTTGAGGGGGCCATTTAGGGATCCGGGGGGAGGGGAAATTGGGGATTGGTCCTGCTTTGAGCAGGGGGTTGGACTAGATGACCTCCTGAGGTCCCTTCCAACCCTGATCTTCCATGAGTCTATGCAGTGGTGCAAGTAGCAGGAGGGGCTGGGCATCTGGAGTACCATCCGGTCTGAGACAGCACGCACGTATTTGGGGCGACTCGTCCCGCTTGCCCATTCTTAGCATGCTAGCTTGATCAACGCTAGCACGTCTGTGTCTTCCCGACCTTCCAGCTCCCATATAGACACACCCAGCATGACACCGCACCTACCACACCAGTGGCCATCACCACTCTGCCCACACTAGTGCTTCTGCCCCTGCCAGTGCTGGTAGCAACCGTGGAAAATATGGGGCAAAAAAAGTGTAGCAGAGACAGATTTCTTATTGTACTGTAAGGCCACGAATACAACGCTGTCCACGCTTGTTTGTTATGGCAGAGTTACTCATGAGAGCTGGGTTGCAGGGACTGGAGTTCTGCTTTCAAAAATATTCAACATTTTCTCTTTTTTCTAAAGTCACACCAAGTTTGTAAACGGATCCATCAAAATGGCAGGCTAGAGCCGGGGCCCCGATCCAGCCAGTGTCTCTTGCAGCACACCAGGCAGAATCAGCCACGGCATCTTGGTACGGAGACGCCACGGAAATCGTGGCAGCTTGATTTAGTTTGTTGACAGTTGAGAGGTGGGTTGAAAAAGTCACAGTTGCCCAAATTGGAACACAACGTAAAGTCTGATAAGTGTCAGCCCCGCTCCAGCAGCCTGGTGAGATTCTAGTGCCCTCATCAGAACAGACGTGCATTGATGGGGAGCCAGTTGCAGCTACATTGGATGCTTCAGGGAGAGACCCATCAATGAGAATTGATTAGGGAAGCCCAGCCCTTCCCCTCCTCCCCCCTCCCCCCCCCCACCGACGTGGTTACAGGTGAAGGGTGTCCACTATCAAAATCTGCCCTGGTTTCAGACAGAGAGGAGATTTTTTGGAATGTGGTAAAGGAAAAGCCTGAACTGGATTTCTTTGCCCCCCCACAATATAGTCTCAAGGTACTCGCCTCTGGGCGGTTCCTATCCTGCTTTCAGTCTGATTCATTCTGGTTGTTACCTGCTGCTATAACATGGCTCCTGAGTTCACCCTTCCATGTCAATTGCACCCACTCATTTCAGATGCCACTGGCCTCCCCCCGGCCCTGGCACTGATCAGATCTTAGCAAAAGTACAGATGGGTCTAGGAGGAAGCTGAGAGATGAACTGTCTGGCTCCTTTTCAACCAGTTCTGGACAGCATCTAAATCATCTTGTAATGAAACCCCACCTGGTCAGGAATGTTTTGCTCGCTCAACCGTTCCCATCTTGTGCGCGGGAGCAGGCAAAAAGCAGATTAGCTCAGAGCCAGGCGGAATTAATGGTAAATTGACAAAAAAAAATTGAAACCACCTACACACCAAGAACAATGGAGGGGATATTATTTAAAAATCCTACCTGCCAAGTTCACATTTTATAAAGCTGTTTATCAATTACGTACTCACACACAGAGTAGCTATAATTAACAGCCATTGTGTCCTCTTCTAACTTAATAGCTCACTTAATCTTTTCGAACCCTCTACCTCCCCCAGACTCCCGCTGAAACCCATGTGCCAGGCACTGGCCCCAAGAATGTATTCATGGTGTGGTGGCTTCATGGACGCAACCATGGAAACTAACTTAATGGAAGGGCTGGGGGACATCGGATGAGAATAGAATCACAACAACAGGGGCACCGGCTTAGCAGTGTCTAGATGATTGTGTAGCATCATTGACCATGGCCAGGTTGCCTGTGACATAACGCGCATGTTACTGGCTAATAATATCACCTAGCTCCTATACAGTGCTTTTCCATCAGTAGATCTCAAAGCACTTCACAAAGGAGGTCAGTATTCTCCTCCTCATTTTATAGATGGGGAAACCGAGGCACAGAGGCATGCCGTGGCTTGCCCAAGGTGACCCAGCAGGCCAGGAGTAGATCCAGAAATAGAACACAAGTCTCCTGAGTCCTAATCCACTGCTTTCTCCACTAGGCCACTCTGCCTCCCCTCTTGGGACATCTCCCCCAACCCCACCCCCATGGTGGGGAGGCTTCCAGACCAGGAATAAAATACCAAGATTGTCCAAAGTTGCTCAGCTCAGTTGGGCAGATCCCTGCTCAGCATTCCGGGGTATCCAGCTCTAGGGGGCTTGTTCTGCCCATGGAAGGGATGGGGACTAGCTGTGAAATATGGACCCAAGTTTCGATTCCAAAATGTCAAGGGCTGTCCAGAGCCAGGATCCTAGTTTGAGCCCATCTCTTATGTCCATATGTATAAAGGCTCTGCATGCCATTCTCCTTTCACACTGACAAAGGGTTCGGTCCCCACGAACTGCAGGGGAGTGATTGGCTGAAGCATCCCAAATAGCAAAGAAAAGGATTCTGTGGGCACGAGTTTCCTCTCACTTATACCAGCGCTAACTGGGAGTATCAGCAACAGAGTTACATCATTGTCATAGGGGGAGAAGAAAGGAGAATCAGGCCTTATAACCCCAGAGAGAGGAAGGAAGAGGAGCCACTTGAAGTCCCTCTCCAAGTGCTGGAACAACCAGAGAGACATTGCTGGAGAATGAACTGATTTGTGGGAAGAGACCCGATGAGGATTTTTAGCTATTTTATACCTTCACCCTCCCATTTACTGCTTCGGTGGCAGACCCCAAATGCTGCCCACCTCTCCAGGCACCTCTCTCCTGGGCCACACAAGATGACATTGCAAAAGGAGAGGCCTTCAAAAGACAATGGGGGAATCCTGGTGGGCGAGGAGCTGCCCACGCAGCAGTAATTCAAGTAGCACACGGCAGCCCCACCTCACAGAATCTGAACAGTAAATGATCTGTGTGCCACATCTCAGTGCTCTGGCTCCTGGTGTGTGGGGATAGCTACTCCCGGGCACTTACTTGGCCAGCTTTTTAAAACCGATGGCTCTCTTTTTGGTAGGCGTCCCATTGACCCCTTTCCAGATGTGCGTGTTCCAAGGGTCAGGCTAGGAGGAAAAAGAGGGTCATCAGCTGAGGGACAGAGCTGTGTTATTCAACAAGTGCCAGGTCTGTGGGGCCCGGCAATGGAATTGCATTCGCTTGTAAAGACCGCTTGTTTAGAGACATTCACAACACCCGATTGCTAGGGACCAGCTGGCCTCAGACCCTCTTCATCGGTCTTTATTTTGGGGGCTGGTCTGTAGCCCCATCCTACCCTCCACAACCCAGCTATTTAAGCTTGGAGATGACCCTCTCTAGAGATGCCCATGTCTTTGAGGTATGGCTGGATGCCCCAGGGTTTCAACATGCTGTTGCAAGGCAGCGAGGGTGTTGCTGTCTTGTAACAACATGGTGGAGGACCAGGCCCTTTGTGCCTCCCGGAAATGAGGCTGTCCCAGGGAGTGTTGTCAGCAGGGAGATGCAAGAATGCACCCCTCCACTTTTCCAAAGGGCCTCAATAAGGGGTGGAGGCTAGGTAAAAGGATCAATGGCTGCACAGTTCCTGTGGGCCGAGTGCCATTTCCACAATCAAGGCAGGGAATGCTCTGGGCTCATGGGAGATGGAGAATACAGATGAACAAATGGCTCCCTTTCCTGGTGATTCCTTATGGGATCTAGACTAATGGCCACACTGAATGAAAGCCGCAGGTGCACAGGCATTCGGTGAACGAAGGTACGTCTGCTCAGGGTCCCTTGTCCCATTCTTTGAAGGGCTCAGTGCTCTGTTGCTAACATTGTGGCCTAGTGCTTATGCTCTGCACACCCAGGCGGGAGACCAGAGTCAGATTTTCCATCCCCAAGCTGGCAGAAGCAGCTTGCTCGTTTGCTAGATGGCGGAGGAAGGGAAGGGGTGACTGGCAGGGGCCGACAGCAGCCCCCCGCGGCTGACTGAGGAGCAGGGCCGATGAGCTCCAGAAGGTGCTCTGCTGGGATGAAGGGCTCAAGATGGGACCGTGATGATTCTCCGGGCTCTGGCAGAGATGCAAAGAGCCACCATCCCTGGGGGAAGGCAACTTGTGCAGGGAGTCTGCAAACCTGACTCTGATTATACCTTGATGCCTTGTAACAATCAGGCTTGTTAACAAGCACCACCGCCTTGCAGAGGAACAACTGTTGGAATGCAGAGCCAGTCCACAGCTGGGGTGGAGACGTAGATTCTGCTGCCCCTGCCTATCATGGCACCCTTGTGTGCGAGGGGCAGGGTGTGCGGCACCGGCAGAAGCCCGGCTATGGATAGTACCTGGTACTCGAAGGAGGGCGTGAGTCGATAGTTGAGCATTTCCTGATGGAAGACCGGGGTGATGCTGCTGGACATTGGTGGGACGATCCACACCCAGTCAGCCGGGCACCCCCCACGGCAGCGATACTCATTCTCCATGTGCTTGATGAAGGACTCTGTGGCTGAGTGATGGTCCACAATGGTCACCTTGTCGCTCTGTTGGAGGGAGGAGAGAGCCAGTAGTAACTGCAGGCTAATGCTCCTTGGGCAGTGAGGACAGGAGTCGGGAGGCAGCATGAGGACCCTGGGCTGGGAGCCGAGTCTGCCGTGAGGGCTAAAAAGGAGCATCCCCACCAAGAACTGCAGGGGACATTAGGACAACAATCGGCTTCTGTCTAGGAGAAGTCAAAGGCTGAAAGCTCAGTTCCTCCTACCAATGGAAGATGTCCAGCAGTGGCAATGGGGCGTGAGGAACCAACTGGGAAGGGCCCATTGGCGGGGTCTGATTGAGGAGACAGCCTTCACAGTGGAACATTTGATTATGCTGAGCTGGTTGACAGGTAGGAGGGACCCTGAATCTCCTAAGCTCTGCTGTGGGCTGGTCAAAGGTCATTGTTACCCTTGGAGTCCAGCTCTGGGACCAGCCACTGTTCCCTTCCTCTAGGACTGTTCTCCCAGCTCACTCGTATAAAACTCCCAGAAAAACAGCTGCTGGAAGATGCAGCTGGCTAAGAGAGATATTACCCGTGTGTATCCCCTGCCCTCCCAGAGCAGACACACTAAGGTGGAGAGATATTCTCCTTGTTCACCTGGTGCCAAGCAGTATTCTGCCCCAATCACTAGTTTTGGCTTGGATGAGACAAAATCTCAAATCCCTTTAAATCAAAATGTGGATACCCAGGGCCAGATCCTTGACCCTTTTTGTGCCACTCATGCCATGTAAAGGAGCTGGAAATTCCCCCAGGGAAAAGCTTGCACAGGGCTGATGCAGACAGCCCTACACCACCCGTCGGTGCTGGGCCCAGTGGCCGGAGCGTGCTAAATTCCATTGGGGGCAACCCCGGCACCTGGAACAACCCCGAATTAGGGAGGGCCCAAAGGTGGCATAGCCCCTCCTGAGCAGCACTGCCCAGACTTTAGTCACCCTCACCTCCGTGTCAGGACAGTGCCTCATGAAAGCACGTTAAACCACTAGTTGCTGAGGCCCTGGGGCAGATCTCTCTATGGCCCCTTCCCACGCCAGTTCCTGACGGGGCCAGTCTCATCCCCAACCCCAAAGCCTTGGGGATGCCTGTGCTGAAGCTCCAGCAGCAGCAAGTCCTGCCCCTCGAGTACCTGGAAGCTGTACAGAACAGCGATGTTAATCTCCACCAGCGCCTGGTCTTTCCACAGTGACGAGGTTTTCCTCATGTCCAGGTTCATCTTTTTGGCTACTTCCTGCAAAGACGCGCAGTAATCGGTGAGCGTGGGCTCAGTCCTGGCCGCAAGGCAAGGTCTGAAAAGGTCTCTGCCCTAGGGAGCGAGCTAAGGGAAGGCAAGGCCCCATCTCCGCATCTGATGGAGAACTTCCATGACTGGAGGCAAGGCTGCTGGGTATGGATCAGGGCAAAGGACCTGCTTGTCTCACAGAACCTCATCCCGCTGGCCCGGTTCCCTCCTGAACAGTCAGGGCTTGGCTGTGCCCAGCCTCGCACGGGGGCTCTGGGCAATCGCAGCGGGGAGGGCAGGTGTGATGCTGGCAGGCCAGGTGCCAGCTCATGCCCAGGTCCCCAGGCCTCACTGGAATACTGACAAATACAGAGCTGGAGCTTGGCTGGTTCGCCTGGGGGGTAGGGTTGTTAAACCGGGCGTTCGTTCTAACCCTGTGCCGAGTGTTTCGACGTTACGGAACGCGTGTGAGTCGCTGCCTGCACGAATCTCACGTGTAACAGCTGTAGCCCCTGGTATAAGGCAACAGCTGAGCCTTTTGTACTGCAAGCGTTTGTGGCTGTTACCACTGCCAGACAGGAGAGAGACATTAACGCGTGTAAAGTGCTGATCTCTAACAGAAGACGATACGTCCTGCCCCACAAGCAAGGTCCATCGACCCCAGATGAACTACCGTGGAACACTGAAGTGGACGAAAGGCTTCGCTGGTTGCTCTTACTCCACCATGAAGAGGAGTGATGCCAGTGAATTCCTTCCATCAGCTGAGTTTGCTGCTCAATGAGCAAAGGGGGAAAGGAAAATAGGCCCTAACAAGAAGGGACTGTCTCTTTATGCTGCTGGGACTCTGAGGGGCAAGGATAACGAAGCATAACTGAAAGATCCCCAGTGCTTAGCCCAGGCTATAGAAGTCACAGCCAATTTGGGCTTTGTGCCCTGCTTCCCCATGCCCTGAGCCACTGAAGGCCATCTTGACAGCAGGCACGGCTCCACGATGGGGCAGGGCACCTGAAAGAGGATGGGGAGAGGAGTGAGCCGTGTGTGGCACCCCCAGGTCTCCAAGGGAAGCTGCAGAGCTGGCTGGGTGTGGGGGGAGGAGCATCAGAGTTCCCCCCGGGACTCCTCAGCATGGGGTGGGGAAGCCCCAATCTGGGTGTGTTTAGTACCAATGTTTCTTCCACTTTCCCCACCCCAAGTAACATACCAGGGACTTGCTGGGCTCAGGGCTCCCTGGGGCACATTGCCCTGATGTGGCAGCATGGCTGGAATTCACCTTTATCTTCAGAGCTTATTTAAGGCAGCCCTTCAGTTTCCTTTACTGTCCCCCACAAAGCAGGGACGCACCCAGCGTGGTGCTCTGCTCCCAGTAGCTCTGTACACCCCAAAGCACCCCCGCCAGCCCCACAGCTGCCCCAAGGCAAGGCAGGCAATAGCAGAGGGCAGGGTTACCTCCAGCATGTTGTAGCGAGAGTTATCACAGTAATCGCGGACTCCGATCTCAGTGCCCATGTACCAGCCGCTGAAGGGGCAGGCAGTAAACTCCAGGCCTCCGATCTCTAGCAGCATGTTGGACACCGCCGGCAAACCATACCACTTCAGCCCCAGGTCCTTAAACCAGGCAAACCTGCCGAGCACACAGTGGGGTCAGCCGGGTTGCTGGATCCTCACGGGGAGGGGAACAAAGGGGGCATTTACCCCTAACAGTCATTCCACAGAAGCCTGAAGGCAGCTTTGTCTTACTACAACAAGTCAGTTCTCAGCAACCATCAGAACCTTCCTGGGAACGAGCACAGCAGGGGAGTTGTGGGGCAGGGCGGGGAGAACAGGTGAATGGCAGGAGGCTCAGGGCAGAGGGACAGGAGAAACTGAAGTGATGCGAGAGCAGCCCTGCCATCCATCCATGAGAAAGGGACCAGGGTCACTGGTTTTCAAGCCCGTGTCAGTTTTTCCATACCGAGGGGAAGGAAGCTCTAAGGGTTGCACCAACTGGCAGAAATGGGCACAACTCCATGCTGGTGGGACTCTAGGTCTGAATGTGCCCCCCATCCCATTTAGCCCCCCGGGCAAGGCCACAGGAAAGGCCGTGCCGTACACTGTGAGAAGGCGTAGGTGGTTCCAGCAGAGCAGAATTCTGCAGAACCTCCCCCGCAGCGGCACCCGGACGTGCTCTAGCTTACTTGGGATGCCTGATGAGTACTTCCAGCACCAGCTCCGGGGGGATCTCAAAGAGCTCGGGATCATTGCCGTTGGCCTGGAGGAGGAGCGGCAGGACATCAAATCGCCCCTTGGGAGCCTTCCACCCTTGCTGGATGCAGATCTGCAGCCAAACAGAGTTCACGTTAATATTCTCGCCAACCTGGCTGCCCAGCACTCTCTCAGGCACTGTGGGCCGGATGTGGGGGTTGCAAAGCGGTAGGCTGTTAAGTACAACAGTAGTCTCTTGTACTTTTTTGTTTTAATAAGGGATGTCTCCACTGAGTCTGAGCCACGTGTGAGCTAATAGGAGAGCGTTCTGCAGTCAAGAGGTAGGTGATAAGCACATTCTCATTATGGTGCACAGAGACTGGCTATGGGAAGAAATCCCCGGCCACTTAGGACTTCACACTTGTCACTGTGTGGTGTGCCATGAGCCACCTGGGACCTGCAGGTGACAGCAAGTTTAGAACCTGGACCTCCTGCTCCAAACCACTGTCTGAGCTACAGTGTTGTTCGTCTGTAGCAGTACAGAGACTGTGAAACACAAGTGAGAAGTTCGGATTCCACCCTGCAGAGGGCAGTGGTGCGTGAACACACAAGGACAAATACAAGTTCACACGGCAATACTAAGGGTCCCTCTAGTGGTACTACAGAGCATCTCATGACCTGTCTTGGGAAAAGCAAAGCAAATCAGAGCGGGTCTCCTAGATGGACTAAAACACTTGTAGTAGAATATCGCAGCTGTCCCCATCCTATCTGAGCACCCTGGGAGGTCAGCTGTGGTGCACTCCCCTGCTGGACACTGACCTGGGAAGGATGGATTTTTTTCATTTTTTTTTCTTTTGCACTGCTTACCTCTGTGAGCTCCACGTTGGCTGGGTCCCCCAGAACGGTACCGTCTGGCTGCTTGTAGCCAGCATAGCGGATGAGCTGGGCATTCCAGACTCGGAAGTCGTGCTTGCCATCCGTCCTCTGGGGGAATATGGTGATAGCAGACCTGAAAGGAACGGATGGGAAGGCGCTGGCATTAGCGATGTGAAAGGCGGCAGCCGGGAGGGCATGTGCTCGTTGCAGAGATTGAGCGGGGTTGCATGGGATGATGGACAGCCCTTGCCAGCATTCCCGCTATGCTTTCTGCCGCATGGTTTGTGCTTGTGAACATGCCCGAGACCAGATTAACCTCCGTACCTGCCAGGGAAAGAGAAGAGCCCGCTTTCCAACTGATTTTCCAGCTACTACCATTGTGCCTTATGGATGTGGGTGTGCCCCCTGAGATGAACAGTCCTGTCTGCAGACCAGGTACTGAGGTGTGGCAAATAGGTAGTGGGGGCAGAGGGAGAGTTCTGTTTCATTGGCAAATTCATCTCCTTTTCAGTGGTTTCCCTTTGCTCCAGTGACCTATGAGCCTATAGCTCAAACAGGCCACCAGAAAATAAGGGGGAGGAGGAGGAGGAGGTCCATCCAGCAGGTGAGGCAAGAGAGAGGAGCAAGAGAAAGCAGGAGAAATACATTGTACATTTCTCTACAGCTCAGCAACTAGAGACAGAGTGGCCAAGCAGGTAGAGTACAGGACCAGGTGACCTGGGTTCTGTTCCCTTCTCCACCACTGATTTACTCCATAACCTTGGGCAGAGTGACTGAGTCTCTCTCACTGGGAAGTGGGGTTACTGATACTTCCCCTCCTTGGTAAATCACAAGCACTAAGTGTCATGATTGCTAGGATACTGATCGCTTGGACACTGCGATTCACTCTTAAACATGCACAGGTTTGATGCAGAATTCAGCATTTGTAGCCCAGGAGGGCCCTGGGGCTACGTTTTACTTCCTGCCCTTAGGTGGAGTGGGTAGAGGGGCAACAGAGAGGTTTAATTTATTGCTTCTCTACAGCTGGAAGAAATACTGGCCCAAGGGCGAGCAGGCAAGATGGACAGGAGGGACACTCCTTCCGTCCCCTCAGCAGCTCCTGCCCCCGGCATCCGGACACTCCAACTCTGAACGTGGGACGCTCCAGCGATTCAGTCACAGGCACGTGGTAGCATTCTGCCGGAGGGAAGTGAAGGACGAGCCTGCATGCTGCATTTGTAGCAGTTCACAGGAAGGCTCTTCAGTCTGGCCCGAGTTATTGTAGAACCTGGTACGGCAGCTCACAGCCGGCCAGAGCAGGGAGACAGTCTGTCCTCACGCTTGGGCTGGTGGCTCAGCCCACTTCCACCCCCCCAGCTGAGTGGCGAGTCAATGGTCTCAGGGAGTATGCCGTTGTGCAAAAGGTGAGGCTGGGCACATGGAAGGCGCGGTTAGAACTGCAGCAGAAACACGCAGCACAAAGGAGCCTGTGACCCCGAGTCTCCGACTAATGGCAGGTCAGAGGCTCCCAGGGCACGTGGCCTAGGTCAGGGCCAGGTGATTGGGAGAGAACACTGGACTCTCACTCCAAGCCATAAACACAAACGTTAAGTAGATCTAAAAAGTTAACAGCCCCCTCCCATTGAGAGCCAGGGCTCCCTCCTTTGGCCCGGGCGGGGGACTCACCTGAGGTTCCCTTTGTTGGTGGCGTATTTGATGTGGTTGCAGATGTAATTGAACATCCCATGAGCTGTGGTGCAGTCTCGGGCATCAAACACCTGCAACAGTTGAAAGGGATGGTCTGCAGAACTCGCTCGTTCTTAAAGAAGCCTGCGTCTCCTCCAGAGCAGGCCCAGCTCCCTGGAAAGCCCTGGGGCTGACGCGATAGAAGAGACGAGGATCTAGCTAGCTGTATGCAGTGTCTAGCACATACATGCTCCCTGCCACTGAAGTATCTCAGCACCTCGAACCTCAGCCCTTTCCACTCTGGGGAGCCAAACTCAAATCCTGGGTGAGCCAGGCTTGAAATTTGTTCAGTGCTGTCAGCCTACTGCAGTCCCCAGCGTCATAAAGAGCAACAGACACACGTGGCCAGCAAACCAAGGCCACCATCAGCTCTGGCTCTGGCAGTCTCTTCTTAAGGGAGCCCCAGGGCCGAAAGATCAGTGATTGAAGCCAGGATTGAGGGGCAGTGGCATGACAGGGGAAGGGGGGGAGTGCCAAGGTAAGCTAGGACTGACCTTCCTTTGCAGAGCCATGCAGGGACGCTTGCAAGCATCTGCCTGCACTGTGCCTGGCTGTAGCCAGTCCTTTCCTTTTCACAGTCACGTGCTCCCCCAGACATTAATTAAAACAAAAGCAGCAGGAAGCTTCACTTTGTGTGAGAGAGGCTGGGCCTCCTAGCTCCAAACCGTGTTGAGGCCCTGTATGAAATTGCTCATCAGCTTTGGAGTGACGGCTTCATGTGTGTGCCCGCTGGCGTCTGGCTTCAGACTGCAGCCACTGCCCAATGTCACTGGAAGAAATGCACTCAGACAACGCCTCCCTCCCAACTCTGAGTCAAAAGTACATTGGGGCTGGGGCTCCATACAACCCTGGCATAGCTTCTTTGACTTCACCAGAGATTTCCCCCCGTGGCCTCCATCCATGGCAAGGCTACAGGTTTGAAAGTAGCATGTGGCAAGTAGGAGCCCAGAACATTGCGGAAGATGATAGTGTTACCTCCAAAGTCTGCTTTGCAATTTCAAATGCAGACACCTCCACCACCATCTATGCAATGCTCCCCCATGAGCACCTTTCCTTCCAAAGCGCTCTCCTCCCAGAGCCTCCAAACAAGCTGTCACGGAGTCCCTGGGCGATGCTCTGGAACTGCTCCCCGTGAAGCCAGGCAGGACTCTGGGGCAGTCGCCTTTCTGTGAGCAGCCTGTCTTCAGGACACACAGCTCACACAGCTTCCACCTTCCTGGGTCTGACCTCGGAGCATTCAGCATCCTCTGCCCCTCCGTGCGCTTCCCACAGCGAGTCCGCTCAGGCGGGGCTCCTGGGGAAGCCAGAGGGTCCTGCCCCCCAACTTCGCAGTCAGACGTGACTCTCAGCCAGCCAGTAAAACAGAAGGTTTATTAGACGACAGGAACATGGTCTAAAACAGAGCTTGCAGGTGCAAAGAACGGGACCCCTCAGCTGGGTCCATTTTGGGGGGCAGTGAGCCAGACAACCACGTCTGCACTTCACTCCATGTCCCAGCCAGCCCCAAACTGAAAACCCCCTCCAGCCCCTCCTCCTCTGGGCTTTGTTCCTTTCCCGGGCCAGGTGGTCACCTGATTCCTTTGTTCTCCAACCCTTTAGCTCTCACCTTGCAGGGGGGGAAGGGCCCAGGCCATCAGTTGCCAGGAAACAGGGTGTTGGCCATTCTCTGTGTCCAGACTCCTGCACACACCTGCCCTCTAGGGCTCTGCAATGATCATACACCCTTACCCCACCCCCTAGATACTTAAGAACTGCCTAGGGGAAACTGAGGCACCCCCACACTATTCAGAGGAAACATTAAGAACAGTCCCACTTCGTCACACAAGCTTCTGCACTTACAGATACCCTGGTGAAAGGATGGCATGTTCCTTACATTTACTGCCCAAAGCCACAAGCATGAGTCACTGTGTCCTTAGCATGCAGAGAAACAGCCGGGTCTCCCTGGATTTACCTTCCATACTCATCAATCCCTCTAAGAGCAATCTGCCAGCTGTAGCCAGAGCACTCTGCTGCTTACCTGTAGCTTGGACCATTGAATCCTGCCTACGCAGCGGGATGCATTGCGCCAGCCATGCTTTGCTCCGTAGATCAGCTCTGTGTCCCGCAGCTGGTAGGTGTCTGTGGTTTCAATCTCCTTGGTCACTTCTTCCAGCCTCTCCATGTGCGCCTTGGAGCCAAACCTGTGAACATGGGGAAAGGGGAAGTGACCAACTCCAATTTGTAGGGCAGCGGATAGCGCTGGATGCTGTTTGTACACAAGTATGCAGTCTGGTTCCGGTACACGTACACACATGCCAGCTGGAGGTAACTCTGGACCAATCATGATTATTATGGGATCAAAAGTTCCCCTCTGAGCCACGGGTCCGATTCTGAGATGCCACATTGTAGGATGGAATTCTGTGGAAGGGAATCTCCCTGGCTGCACCTGTGCATGACAGTCTCCAGACAGATCAGTATGCCACATGCATGTACACCTGCTTGCGTACCCAGCTAGACATACACACAGAGCACGGATGCAGACCACTGGAAGTACAAGGTTGTCCAACATAGAGCAGCACCATTATGGACCTATAAATGCACGTCTGCAGTCTTGTGCTCTTTGGAGGCTAGCACGGATTTCAAATGGCCTGGCCATTGGGTGTGCACGGAGCTGGTGCGTGCAGAGCTAGTGATCCGACTATCGGCTAACTCTGGGCACTGCAATTTGATCACACCACCAAGTCTGAGTTTGCACCCAGCTTTGACGGTAACAAGTCAGAGGTATTTTACTGCACTGCGTAGCTCCCGTTAAAAACCCACCAGCAGCACCACCCGCGAGTGCCAGAAGACTTGCCTCTTTATGGAGGAGTAGTATTGATCAATGAAGTCCTTAGCCAAGGGGAGCAGCTGCTCTTTTGTCCTGGTGTCTTCTGGTTTCCGGACATGCTGGGTGGGTGTCATTATTGAGCCCATGCAGATCTGCTCTGTGCACGCACTGGCCTGCAAGGACGGAAGGGCCACATATGAACCATAGATTACTGGATGCACCACTGGTTACGCTGACATGGCCAACAGGATGGGCTGCACGAACGCTGATGAAATGCCAGCTCTGGATTTGGCACAAATGGTGATATTTCCAGTGTGGTTGCTTTCACATGTGCACTTTATTTTGTGGCGGGGGGGAGGGAGAAGGCACTGATCTCAGGCATACGACTGAGGGATGTTCCTCACCCTATCTGACCTATAACCGTGCCTCGGGCAAGTGAGATTCATAAGAGTCCAACCTAAATCTCTGTTACAGCTCCATGTTCACCCTCTCTCCTGCAAGCTGGTCTCCATACCATCCGTGGAGGAAACAATCGCATTGCATCCTCCTTTCTGCCAGCAGCAGGCAAATTCCTTCTTTTCAATGCTTTACATCCAGCCACTGGCAACTGCTGGGAGGTAACAGACACCCACCTCCATACCTTACTTTCCCATCTCCACACTCTATAGTAGCCCTTCCCTTACACCATACCTCCCCCTACTGTAGGGGTAAGCACCTCTGCAACATTTCCCTGCGGAATCTACAACCGATCGGCCTAGAAGTCTACCCCACAAGCCATTTCATTTACTGCTATTGCCAAGAAAAGAGAACACCGGGACTGAAAGAGGGATAATGCAGGTGGCATTTCTAATCATCCCCACCCTCATGTTCCACCAGCATTTGAAGGTTCAGAAGAGCTGAGTTGCCTCTTTTTGATTCATTCTAGCCTAGCCCACGACAGAGCAGCTCATTGAAGGCCCCATGGCAGCCCACAAGATGGGCTCACTTATTCAAAGCAACTCTAATTCTTTCAGTTAAATCGGGTTTAGAGACATTGATTTGGTCAACTACACTCAGAAAACATTGGCCAAAACAGTCAGTCCCACTCACCATGGCTGTCTTGAGTTGTAAAGTGTCATGAAGCACTGAGCCAGTCTCCCAGTTCTTGACTTTGGCAAATCGTGGGCACTTAGAAGGGCTTCCATTCACCAAGTTCTTTGTTGGGGACTGTCTGCCAGATGGTGGTGGCTGGAGGAGAGAAAAAATGATGATGTGTCAGACTATTGTTCACTGATTAGTTACAGGAGAAGTGTAGGATGCAACAGCAGATGGATCTTGGATTAATGGACTTCTTCACCTATGGAGGCCTGGATAACATAAGTGAGACTTGTGTCGTCTTGACCTACACCCTAGTGAATACTGTACACAATAAAATTACTTTCAAAGTCTGCTTTGCAGTTTCAAGTGCAGACACCTCCACTTCCATCTACGCAACCCTCCCCCATGAGCACCTTTCCTTCCAAAACCCTGCCAGAGCCTTCAAACAAGCCCCTGCACCCATAGATACCAAGGTGAAAGGATGGCAAAAAATTTACTCTGGATAGCTGCAAAGTTAACTCTGTTCAGAAGAAGCCTAACCTTGAAAGAGCAAAGAGTCACTGAAATTAATTAATAGATCATTTAGTCCATTCCCTGTCAATGTCGGATTTTCTCCCTACATTACCTTCACTAGTGGATTATCTGCCATAGTTTTAAATGCACCAAAGCCAGTGCTGGTGGGTTTGGCTTCTCTAAGGAAGGTTGTCTTAATATCTGACAATAACTCTACGGGAATGAACAGAAAGCAGGCCTCCCCAGTGTCCCTTTATGCTGGAGAAATGTAAGGCTAAGGACAAGCATCGGGAGGAAGTGAAAGGACTTCTGAATTATGTGTACTTGGACCACGCCCCTCTCACCCCCACTTCCTAAGTCTCCTTGATATCCTATGTAGGTGTGTGCCAAGCCAGGATCTCGGAGGGAACCTCATTGTGCAAGACACAGCACTGAACACACTTGGCTTGCAGAGATCCTGTAGTGACACCAGGGAAAAATTAGTTCTAGTGAACTTCAGAGGAAGTCTGCTTTGGCAGACAAACTCCATGAAGATGTGAAAAGATCCACACCAGATTGCTCCTGGAACGGGAGATATGCCATCTTGGAATTAGATCTTTCAGCAGAGCGCAGTGTCATCACTCGGTATTACTAAGGCCTGGTTGGATGTTCCACGGAGAAAAGATCTGGTCCCAAACTGGGGCATCCTATCCAAATCCACTCAAGTTTGGAGCCAGAGCAAAGCTTGGCGTCTCAAGGCATTCTCTGTAAAATAGATCTGAACTGCCTAAACTTTGGGGAAATTTGGATATGGATCCAGACATTGAATCTGAACTTTGTGGTTCAGGTCCATCTCTGAGGTTATGTCTACACTACAAAATTATGTTGACTCAAGTTATGCAAGTCAACATACAGCCACTGCAGTAATTAAATTGCTTTTTTCATGTCCATATTATGCTCCTTGTATCACTGGTGTACATCGTCATCGGGAGCACATGTATCGATTTAATTGTCAGTGTGGGGCATTGTGGGATGGCTTCTGAAAGCCAGCAGCGGTCAATGTAAGCAACACAGTGTCTGACACTGCATCGACCTCACTAGATCAACCTAAGCGCTATGCCTCTTGTGGATGTAGAGTTATTAAGTCGGCCCAGCGGGCAAGTTACATTGATGGCAATGACATTTTAGTGTAGAGGCTTACAGAGTTAGGTTGACGTAAGCTGCATCACGTCAACCTAATGCTGTAGTGTAGACCAGGGCTAATTTATACCAAGATTTAAAAAAACAAAACTCTTCTGCATTTTTCCATATTCTTTTTATTATCAATGCAGATATTCATGCTCCTTCTCCATGATCCTGTAGAGACGCTGGAGTCCTATGCTCGTGACATCTATACACATCATGAAATGGTTGCGATGGCACAAATTTGGCATTATGACCTCACTGAATGGGGGAAAGAGATCAGCTGTGATGAAGAAAGCCCGTTTTTCAACATGACTAGCTTTGCCGGTGAGCACACACTGGAAGGAAAATGATGGAACCCATATGAACAACACGCCGATTAAATATTTTAATCCGATGTTATTAGAAAGCCCTTTAAAGGATCTAGTCACTTAAGATTCATCTGCGTCTCCGAGATCTAACTTTTCCTCCCTTCCACATTGAAATACAGACAAGGAAACTGCCTTCACTCTTCAGAGGGGGTCACTCACTTGACACATTTGACAGGCCAGATAGCTGTGAAGATAACTGGTGAAGGACCCCCAGCCATCACTTGACCACCACAAGAAAAGGCTTATGTACTAAAACACACCAGGGAAGGCAAGTCATCAGACATTCGAGCAGCATCCGCTCTTAGAGCTGCGGCAGGAATTAGAATGAGAGCTCCAACTGTCTCCTTGGGCCTCAGCCTGCTTTGCATTTCGTTGCACTATGCAGAATTCTGCTTTCTGTCGCATTGATGAAAATCCAAAGCCAACCTCCCTCTTCTCAGTGGAACAGCTCCAGCAACCGAGAACAGCATTTGCCCTGAATGTCCTGCTAGATCACTTTGCTCCATGTGAAAATGTATCTACTTTACAGAAAGGCGGAAGTGTTTAATGGAGAACAGCAAAGCCAAAGCTTCTTCCCATGCGTCTTGTTTAGGAATGCTCTGAAACCACATTGTGGCAAGTGCAGGAGTAGCCATGTATGACCTGGGTTCCTGAGGCAGGCTAGATAGCAGCAGCCACATGACCATACTGTACTAGCTCGATCCTGGGCGGCGGCGATTTCACAAAAACCTTCGACAAGTTAAGTTTTTAAAAGTGTCTTTGATGCCAGAAAATGGGGATTTTGCTACCCACTACAATGACAACAGGATCAGTCGCAGCATCTGGTACCTTCCTCCATGTGCACGTGTCGGAGGAGAAAGGTAACACCATCTGATACTACCGTATCATATTCCTTAGTTCTCATGGGCTCTGGAGTCTCTCGCTTTCCCTGCTCATGCTCTGTTGGGCGGCATGTGGTCGCCTCAGCTCCTGGAGTCACGTGATTAAATGATGCTCTCTGCTTTCATTGTTTTAAAGTGTGCCTCTAGCCCTCATGGTTGCAGAATACAATTTGAAAATGGGAACCCTAATGGCACAAAACCTGTAGGCAAATCAGAAGAGCCCCAACATTTATCATTTTCAAAATTTTGGATTTTTAAGCCAAGCTCATGGCTTTTGGGGGCCTGAGTCATAATTTTTGAATGCTTGGGGATGGCCACGCTGTAATCTTCTTTCCTACACACCTGCCTCCTTCAACAAAGCTCAACCATTTGTGGGCCAGCAACACTACTGCATGCCAGCTGAATTAACCGGAACTGCACCACTGAAATGCACTGAGATGCGAATTTGGCCCTTTATTTCTCTGGGGATGAATTTCCCATGAAATCCATGGGATTCATAACACTTTAATTAAAATTGACACTTGAAACCTCCCAAAATTAAGGTTTCTCCCCACCCCCACCAGACATAACACATTGCAGCGAACGAGCAAACACCTTATGCATTACTGTGACATTCATGTTTCCTGACTGCAGAAAGCAGATCTTTAACCAGATCCATGGAGCTAAAGTACCCACATGTTCCCAGAGCATTATAAAGGCAGTCGTACAAATGTTCCGATCTTTAGCAGTGGCCCCAACTAAAAACCTGCTGCCAAGCACGAGTGAACTTTGGGTTATTTGAAATTTGGATCCAGCTGTTCAAGTTTGAGCCCACCTTAGATACTCTGTTCTGCCTGATGTTTTCCCTTGGGGCATTCTGTGAGGTTAGTGAAGTACTTGAAGGAGTGTGAGAGTGTGTTAGATGCAGTGGGGAAGCATATGTGAAAAGACAGCGGCAGTGATTCATTATGCCACGCTAAACAGGGAAGGATGTGTCCTCTAACGGCTTGGGAGAAAGCACCCAAGAGAGGCTCTATCGCTTGGATTGGCAATTGTGTGCGGTGTGACGGGAAAGAAACTGATGACCAGCAGAAAAATGCAAAGTGCTTTTTGCCTCTCCACTCAGCCTCATTGGTTTGCATGCTTGAAACCAAACATTACCCGGGGTTCTGTCAGGGGGGTGATATTATCACCTTTTATGTTTTAATTAGGTAGCACTGATATTAGCCACTCAGGTGTGGGACAATTGGCGAGATTAATGTAGCAGTCGGGGCGCACATGCATTATGCAAAGGACTTTTTACAACAGAGCATGTTATCATAAGTACTAAGTGTGCAGATTAGTGATCCTTCTGTGGTTATTACATATGTATGTGCGAATGCAATCCAGCCCCCGAGTGTTTGGATTCCTCGGGTGTGTGGAAAAAACAGGGGAGTTTATCTGCTGGCACAAAGGGGCCGGAATGCAGGTATAGGTACCCCACGGCCAGGGAATACCCCTGACACAAGGGGGCCTCTACTGCAGCGGCTGCCTTTCCCCTCTACAGATGGCCCTAGTGCAAAGGGCATTTCAGAGTGGGCCAAGGAGCGGTGGTTCTAGGGCAGAGCCAGGCCTAAGAAGGGAGGGGGTCTGGCTGGACTGGTCTTACTCCTTGGCAAGCAGGGTTTTAGGGACCACTGTGGCACAACTTCAGGGAGCTCGGAGAGCTGGGTCAGGGGCTGAACTTCCCCCCGTAGTTCTGGAATCAGAGATATGCAAGTTGGGTCCTTTCTGTCCTGCACAGACCCTAGGTACCTGCCACCATTAGCATCAGTGAGTGGAGAATTGAGACTTGGGGGCACCTCATACCCACTTTGCACTAACCTAGCAAGGACATAAATGACGGGGCATGATGGGAGGTGAATCAGGCCCAATATTTTGTCTCACCAAGCGGCTGGCTGCAGCTGAAGATTGCCTCTATGTACAACCAGCTTAAAAATCAGTTAATTCTTTCAGAGACTCTTTTTATGAATAATGATTTGTTTTACACTGTTCTAGGGCCCTATAGCCCTTGGAAGCTTGAAACCAACATTCTTCTCTTTATCATACAAACAGATAGACCCCCCCCACCTCTTGTTATTGTAGGGTTCCTCACAAGAGCTAGTATTGACTAAAGACAGTGCACCGAGGACCCAGCCCAATGAAGTCAGGGGGCATCTTTCCATTGACTTTAGTGGGTCTTGGACTGGGCTCTGACATCTTTGATCTGGGAATGGCACAGGGAAGGAATTGCATGAGTTTGCACAAAGGTCAGAAGTGAGAGTTGCTCCCAATCAGCTTCGACATTGTGCCATACAGGTATTTTGATGAGCGTTCACTCGCCTGGTGAGCTACTCAATCAAATCGAGCTTTGAAAAAAGATTGGTGCAAACTTCCTATCACTTGCGTTGGCCGAACGAGGGCCCAGTGTTGCCAGCGCTATCGAGCGTGGTGCTGATTCACAGCCCTTCCCACTGAGTTCTTCCGGGGGAAGGATAGCTCAGTGGTTTGAGCTTTGGCCTGCTAAACCCAGGGTTGTGAGTTCAATCCTTGAGGGGGCCATTTAGGGCTATGGGCCAAAAATTGGGGATTGGTCCTGCTTTGAGCAGGGGGTTGGACTAGATGACTTCCTGAGGTCCCTCCCAACCCTGATATTCTATAAATCAATGGAATTGCCCATGGCAGCAAGCGCTATGCTTGGCCGTGTTCGCAGCACTGGGCCCCAAGAGACCACTCAGTCCAAGCACTTGGCTCGGCACCACATAACACTGATCATCTAAATGAACGCCTGACCCTTGGTAAGCCCCAGAGAAGCTTCAGTATCTGGGAGGAAACAGACATGGCTGTGAGGAAGACTTTGAGTGCAGACTGCAGTCAGGGTCAGCACCGGGGACGTGCATAACAAGCAGGCATGCGGCTGTGTCATGGGGTGATCCTCCGGAATCTCTGTCACCTTAGACACAGACCACTCTCACTCCAGGTCACCGTCACCACCACCGTGTTTATTGTAGCCTTCTAGCAGACTGTAGTACAGATACACAGGTCCCAGTCAGCTCCCCCTCTTACCTGTGGGGAGAGAGGGGGCAGTACTAGCCGCAGCCAGCTTTGCTCTCCTTCAGGTTCTCCATCCCCCTTTCCAGGGCTTCCTTCCTCTCCATTTATCTGCTCCCAGGGGCTGGAGTTGCTTCCCCCTCTAATTAGCCCTCCACATGTTAATGTATCCTCTTTTAGGTCCCAATTAACCTACATTGGTGGGGAGTTGAGTGGCAGGGTGCTGAGTCAGCTCCTGTCACAGGCTGTAAGGTCCACCTTCAGATGCAACCCCTCCCGGCCCTGAACCCACACAGACCAGCCTTGCATGGCACAGCAGAAGTTCTCAGGCTGGCTGTCGCGGGGGGCAGGGAAGGGAGGGAGAGGAGATGTGGAAGCGGTAAGCGTATGGAGAGACCAAAACTGCGAGTGGAGGAGGATGTATAACGATAGGGATAAGAAGGATAAAAGGGAAGCCTGCACATCGAGTGGAAAAAAAATGAGTTTAATAGCAGCTTAAGGCTGGGGATTGTAGCAGCACTAACATGGAGAGAAATTAAGCTCTGAACACAGAAGGTTACAAAGTGCTGATAGTCACAGACTCATGCAAGAGCTCAGCAAAGAAACAGAGAGACGGCGCTTACAGGCACAGGGGAAAGGAGCAAAGCAGTAACTTGAGCTTGGCTGGGAGAGGAGTCACAGCATCTACTGACGACTAAACAGAAAGAGTGAGGTTTAAACAGGGAGGTCACTCTGGCGACCGAGTGAGGTGTGTTGTGGTTCTTGGACTCACCTCCTTGTGCCTAAATATTACAGCACATATGGCAAGATCAGTTACACTGTTATGAGAACCAGATCATCTGCAATACGGGGCTGCATTTGCGTGAGATAAGGACAGATTTTCAGACTTTACTCTGAACTGTCTGGCTTTCCTCACCCTAAACCAGCCACTGAACCTCAGGGAAGAGCTGTATTTCCTGTGTGCACGCCCCCCTAGATTGTGTGCTGGGGTGTTTCTTGTATTAATAAATATTTAAAAGCCCTTACAGTCTATTTTTAAAAATCTTTATTTTGGGACTCGACAGGGGATCTTGCCCTTAGAAAGATCATAGCAGATGTGGCGGAGCTAAAAACCAACCCATGATCATGCGATTTTGGCAGGTGTCACCCATCCTGGATAGGTTTAAACTCCAGGAACAGGTTGAGATGTTTAGAAAGGTCTCCTGGGGCCCCTTATTTCCTGGAGGCACAAGGAAATACCACACTTCTAAATCATTGTCTCCCACGATGCCTGCCTGCACTGCATCACTTCACGAAGTGCACCCGAGGGCTCAGTGGAGAGTTAAGCTCTCCACAAAGGTACCAAGCACCCCTGCATCTTAGTCACTTCAGTGGGAGTTAAGGGCACTTGCCACTGGTGGAAGATGCTCGGCACCTTTCAGGGACAGGTTCTCAATGAGCAGGGAGTGCCCCAAGCGATGGAGACCCTGTGTTGTACGGACAGAGCAGCACAGAACGAGGCTATTTTAGAAAGACTTATCCAGTAGTTCGGGCACAGGACTAGGAGTCCAGACCTCTGAGTTACGTCCCTAACTCTGCTGCAGAATCCCCACGTGACAGGAGCAAGTCGTGCCCCCTCCCAGGGCTGGATAATGGCTCGGTGGAAGGACCGTGCCAATCGCAGCTATTTTACATCTTCTCCTGTACTGTGAATGTTTTGGAGCAGGGACCATGTCACCCTGCTTGTTAGTACAGCACCTAGCACAGTTTGGCCCTGATCCTGATCAGCACAGCAGGGCCCTGATCTGGACTGGCACTACTGGAATATAAATAATGGATATAAAAGATTAATAAGACTTGGGCTGGCGAGAGTGGTCTAACGCCAGCCCAGAGGGCAGGAGCCAATCAATATAGGTATGAAAGAAAGATAGCCTTATGTGCACGCCATCAAAAAGTGCCTGCCCTGCCGATGTTGCCTGGACGGGAAGTGGGGGAGGAGGTCAGGCCCTTGGTTTCAGGAAGTGACTGAGCTGAGCAGGGGCAATACTGGTTTTGCTGGACTTCTTCATTTGAATGTTCATCTGTTTTTCCCTTTGGAAAGTGTTCTTTGACGCATGGCCGACCGTGAATTACAGCTGGGGGAACCTCGGGAATGGGATGGTCTGAGCACAGGGCTGGGTGCCAGGAACTGCCAAGTTCTAGCCCTGCCTCTGACACTGGTCCCATCTGAGAACTGCATATGGCCCAATAAGTCCAGAAGCCAAATTCCACACCACAGAATTCATAGAATATCAGGGTTGGAAGGGACCCTCAGGAGGTCATCTCGTCCAACCGCCTGCTCAAAGCAGGACCAATCCCCAGTTTTTGCCCTGGATCCCTAAATGGCAAGGTGGTGTGAGAAGCAACGAATGGTTGCAAAGTGCTAGGAGATGAAAAGCACGTTTTGAGCATTGGCCTGCTAAACTGAGGGTTGTGAGTTCAATCCTTGAGGGGGCCGTTTAGGGACCTGGGGCAAAAATTGGCGATTGGTCCTGCTTTGAGCAGGGGGTTGGACTAGATGACCTCCTGAGGTCCCTTCCAACCCTGAAATTCTATGAAATACTATCTGAAGTGCTACATCAAATTATATGAATGCAATGAGAAACATGCTTCACACCACTAAGGGCTTTGCTGGCAAGATGCCTGTTGTTAAGAACGTGCCATCCCTTTTGGCTCTTTTCTTGTCCCGCTCTGGACACTGAGTGGAACAATGGGGAATCCTCAGCTCTGCTGAGGACTGGACTGGACACAGCCCTTCTGCCACTTATGCTCTACACACCGAGGGGAACGTTCGATAGCGACTCCTACCCAGTGTAAGCTGCAGCCCTACCGTCAGCAATGGGATCCCATCAGCTACATGGCTTCTGGACTGAACGGGCCAGACTTAGCTCGCAGCTGCACAAGTGCGATCCCATTGCAGCAAATGGGGTTGCTCTGGAGTAACCGGGCCACACCGTCGAGATTGGGCCTGTGTGGTCACTTGATCAGAGAAGGGCTTGAGCATTGCACCTTGGAGCACGGAAAATGCTGCTCCTATGGGGACCCAAAGGAGCGAGTCAGGCTTCAGTGACCTTCTCCTATGCTACCTTATACCCAGGAGACAGACCACGTGTGACTGTGGCTTTACAAGAAAGGAGACTTGCATTGGCTGCTGTCAGCTGAGGTATAAAAGCCCACTGCTCTCAGGGCACACCCCACGCCCCACCCTGCTGAGCTCCTCGTCTCCCATGGAAATCAATGGCTTTTGAGGGAGCAGGATCAGTCCCTGCATGTGCTCCCTTCCCACATGGAGCAGCTATTACAAGTGGATTGCAGCCAGACTTATGCTTCTACACCGGCTCCCATCCCCCCCAATCACCCCACAAGACATAGGCACCTACCTGCTCCTTTTCCAAGTAGGGGTTGTTCAGGACGATGGGCGTGTCACTCTTCCCCCACAGATCATTGAAAACTCGGTCATTTTCCACCCCGGCTGGAGCAGGTTTCTGGGACTTGTCCACTTCCCTGAAACTGAGGGTGGGGAATATTAGTCATTTAGTTCCCAAAGCCACATGCAGCTTGTTCCCCGTCAGAGCCCTCAGACTGCTCAGCCTTAGAGCAAAACTTCCCTGCCTACCGCATGGGGAACGAACCGGAGCCGGGGTGCACCCAGCAGACAACCATTGCTACCCTTTGCCAATTGCTTAGCTACAGGGCTGGCTCTGGGCAGCTTCCCGCAGGATTGAAAACTTGCAAGAGTTTGAAGGGGCGGGGTTGAGGGGAGGAATTGAAAACTCCCCACACTGGCAAAGGATCACCCTGTGTTAGCGTGACAACAAACAATGGGAGTTTTGCCATGTAAAAAATCCAGTTCCTAAAATTGGCAGGAAGCTGAAGTCCTCACTAGGCCAAGGTAGTGAAGTGATAATCATCCAGTTTACACCTTTGCACTCCCGGGAAGGCGTATTCCTAACCCTATCATTCGCTACGCCTAGTGCTACCACTCCCAACCCCAGCCACCGTGAGAACCAATAAAGAGTGGAGAACCTTTAGCCAGACCTCATTTTAAGTTATATATACAATGCTCTCTGCCCCATGCTGTCCAATGGAATAAGAACAAAGAGCATAATCGAAGTGCTCTTAATACACAAATGCATCAAAACAAATTAGGGGCCCTAGTTTATAAACAGGATTGGAAGGAAAGGGGATATAATATCGGGCTGATGGCGGTTATTCTAAAATAGCTTTGTTGGGGTGGGGGGAACTTGTCGCTCAAGTGGAACATAAGCAGGAAGCAACAAACTGACATGGCTCTCAGGGAGGTGAGTTTGATGCTTTCAGAGCCTGATCTTGCAAATACTTGTGCATGTAAGTAACTTTACACAGTGAATTCCACTGAAGTGAGACTGCTCACATGTGTAAAATCACTCGTGTTTCCAGGACTGGAGGATTAATGTGCTAAGAGACAAGTACTGCAAGAAAAAGAACATTGCAGTTGTTACCCGTGCTGGATCAGACTTAATTTAAGACTGACACAAAGAAATACTGGTTTTGTTTAAAAAAAAAAAAAACGAAACAAAAAAAACCCCACAATGCAGAATTGACTTGTGGAACTTGCCACCACAAGATATCATTGAGGATAATTATTTAGTAGGCTCCAATAAGGTGTCTAAGCGTTACTGCAATAGGAATACTAAAACAAAGATAATGAAGAATTAGATAGTTATACGAGTTATAAGAATATAATCCAGTCAAACCAGCTAGGATAAAAATGTACAAATGACATCAGCTCTCATGATTTAGGACAGAATCCAGCTGTTTACAGCCCAGGATTGGGAAGACATTTCTTCCGTAAGAATGCTATTATTTAGTTGCCCACTGTTACAGTTTTATAAACGACTGGACTATTGTTCTAATCCGCTCTGGCAATTCCTTTCTTTCTCCATAGGACTGATCTGTATTCCCCTGACAACATCGAGCACTGAAAAACTATTCCTGTTGCAAATCTGGGGCCTCATCCAAAGCCTACTGCAGTCAGCGAGAGCCTTCCCATTGACTTTAGTGGGCTTGGGATCCGGCCCCTCATCAGGAATGAGGCACTCAAAATGTAATGTGAATAGGTGCCCTGATCACGAAGCCACTTGCAGCTGAAAAAGAAGGGAAACGCCCCGAGCAAATTAACTTTCAGGAGGTTTTCCCCATGCATGTGGCTTTTGGTATACAGGAAGTAAAGCAGCTTTCAGTTTAATTCTTTGTCTTCCAACTGCTCCAGAAGTTCCTAGTTCATTTATGGAATGAAGTTGAGCCCTCCAGCAGCCAAGATGTTACACCACATCCCGGGACTATTTTCTAAACACCGGGTAGCCTTTGGGTAAAAGCCTCCACTTTATATTTCCAACAGAATTCAAGCCCAACATGGGGTTGGATTTTTAATTGAAATTCCCATCTGTCATCTCTTCAAGGACGGAATTGTTCTTTTGCTAACTTGGCTTTTACGCACATGTGAAAGGGTTTTGATCAGATAAAATAACCTCACCCACCATTAATCTGGTCCATTCAAAGTCAAAGACCAGCGTAAAAGGATGCGTACGTGCTACATGCAGAATATCGCATGCACCAAACGCACTGCGAACATTCTGCATTGGGCTGTTGCCACGCCTGCCAGCCAGGCTGGGGCCCCGCTCCTGAGGCAGTTTACACCTATTGGGCCATGCCACAAACCCCTCTGGGGCTGTACAGAAGAGCTGGTATCGCAGGAAGAGAATACAACAACTCTTCAGAGTAGGGACTGAGCTTTGGTAGTTATATGGCCCCCCCATTACTGTACTATCCAAACACCCTTCTGGGCGTTAGTGTATTTACCTTCACAATACCCCCGTGAGGCAGGGCAAGGCTGTTATCCCATTGTAAAGATGGGAAACTGAGGCACAGAGAGGCTAAGTGACTCACCCAAGGTCACACAGGAAGTCAAGCTGAGCCAGGAATTGAACCCAGATGATCTTTTGAGTCCCAGGCTAGTGCCCCTAACCACTGGACCATACTTCCTTTTATTCTCTGTTTGTTAGCACAATCAAGCCCTATTAGTCTTACTGATGCCTCCAAGGCTATTATTATTATTTATTTGTATGCATGTCGCACCAAGACCACACAGAGGTTTTTGGGGGACCTAGGGCAAAATCTGAAACCGAGGGCTCCCCCCCTTCCAAAATTACTACCATAGAATCATAGAATATCAGGGTTGGAAGGGACCTCAGGAGGTCATCTAGTCCAACCCCCTGCTCAAAAGCAGGACCCATCCCCAATTAAATCATCCCAGCCAGGGCTTTGTCAAGCCTGACCTTAAAAACTTCTAAGGAAGGAGATTCCACCACCTCCTTAGGCAACGCATTCCAGTGTTTCACCACCCTCCTAGTGAAAAAGTTTTTCCTAATATCCAACCTAAACCTCCCCCACTGCAACTTGAGACCATTACTCCTTGTCCTGTCCTCTTCCACCACTGAGAATAGTCTAGAACCATCCTCTCTGGAACCACCTCTCACGTAGTTGAAAGCAGCTATCAAATCCCCCCTCATTCTTCTCTTCCACAGACTAAACAATCCTAGTTCCCTCAGCCTCTCCTCATAAGTCATGTGTTCCAGACCCCTAATCATTTTTGTTGCCCTTCGCTGGACTCTTTCCAATTTAACCACATCCTTCTTGTAGTGGGGGGCCCAAAACTGGACACAGTACTCCAGATGAGGCCTCACCAATGTCGAATAGAGGGGGACGATCACGTCCCTCGATCTGCTCGCTATGCCCCTACTTATACATCCCAAAATGCCATTGGCCTTTTTGGCAACAAGGGCACACTGCTGACTCATATCCAGCTTCTCGTCCACTGTCACCCCTAGGTCCTTTTCCGCAGAACTGCTGCCTAGCCATTCAGTCCCTAGTCTGTAGCTGTGCATTGTGTTCTTCCGTCCTAAGTGCAGGACCCTGCACTTATCCTTATTGAACCTCATCAGATTTCTTTTGGCCCAATCCTCCAATTTGTCTAGGTCCCTCTGTATCCTATCCCTGCCCTCCAGCGTATCTACCACTGCTCCCAGTTTAGTATCATCCGCAAATTTGCTGAGAGTGCAATCCACACCATCCTCTAGATCATTTATGAAGATATTGAACAAAACCGGCCCCAGAACCGACCCCTGGGGCACTCCACTTGACACCGGCTGCCAACTAGACATGGAGCCATTGATCACTACCCGTTGAGCCCGACAATCTAGCCAACTTTCTACCCACTTTATAGTGCATTCATCCAGCCCATACTTCTTTAACTTGCTGACAAGAATACTGTGGGAGACCGTGTCAAAAGCTTTTCTAAAGTCAAGATACAATACATCCACTGCTTTCCCTTCATCCACAGAACCAGTAATCTCATCATAGAAGGCGATTAGATTAGTCAGGCATGACCTTCCCTTGGTGAATCCATGCTGACTGTTTCTGATCACTTTCCTCTCATGTAAGCGCTTCAGGATTGATTCTTTGAGGACCTGCTCCATGATTTTTCCGGGGACTGAAGTGAGGCTGATTGGCCTGTAGTTCTAGGATCCTCCTTCTTCCCTTTTTTAAAGATGGGCACTACATTAGCCTTTTTCCAGTCATCCGGGACTTCCCCCGTTCGCCATGAGATTTCAAAGATAATGGCCAATGGCTCTGCAATCACAGCCGCCAGGTCCTTTAGCACTCTCGGATGCAACTCGTCCGGCCCCATGGACTTGTGCACGTCCAGCTTTTCTAAATAGTCCCTAACCACCTCTTTCTCCACAGAGGGCTGGCCATCCATTCCCCCTGTTGTGATGCCCAGCGCAGCAGTCTGGGAGCTGACCTTGTTCGTGAAGACAGAGGCAAAAAAAGCATTGAGTACATTAGCTTTTTCCACATCCTCTGTCACTAGGTTGCCTCCATCATTCATTAAGGGGCCCACACTTTCCTTGGCTTTCTTCTTGTTGCCAACATACCTGAAGAAACCCTTCTTGTTACTCTTAACATCTCTCGCTAGCTGCAGCTCCAGGTGCGATTTGGCCCTCCTAATTTCATTCTTACATGCCCGAGCAATATTTTTATACTCTTCCCTGGTCATATGTCCAACCTTCCACTTCTTGTAAGCTTCTTTTTTATGCTTAAGATCCGCTAGGATCTCACCGTTAAGCCAAGCTGGTCGCCTGCCATATTTACTATTCTTTCGACACATCGGGATGGTTTGTCCCTGTAACCTCAACAGGGATTCCTTGAAATACAGCCAGCTCTCCTGGACTCCTTTCCCCTTCATGTTAGTCCCCCAGGGGATCCTACCCATCCGTTCCCTGAGGGAGTTGAAGTCTGCTTTCCTGAAGTCCAGGGTCTGTATCCTGCTGCTTACCTTTCTTCCCTGTGTCAGGATCCTGAACTCAACCAACTCATGGTCACTGCCTCCCAGATTCCCATCCACTTTTGCTTCCCCTACTAATTCTTCCCGGTTTGTGAGCAGCAGGTCAAGAAAAGCTTCTCCCCTA